AATTTGAAATTTTTACCTACATAATTGAGCACTGCTGAAACAGTATATGTCTATAAACATATTTTAGTGCATATAAATGTGAGGCATAAGGATGAGATGAAGGAACAAATGAAATGTAATCAAAAGAATGTTTGGAACAAGCCTTAGGAACTTAGGAACGAATGTTTGGAACAAGCCTTAGGAACTTCTAAAGAGTTGTTCATTTGTGTGCTAATGATTTTGAAATTTAGGAAAGGGAGTCAGCCTCTGTTTTGCTTTTGTAAATGATCGAAGTTGGTTACGTTTATGGACTAAATGAATGTAGATACCAATCAAATTGAATTACCCACTTAAAACGAATGTATTTTGTTGTTTTTTGATCACTTGATCACCAAAAATGAACAATTAGAAATCAGAGCAAACATGTTTTTTTCTTTGCTTGGTTATAGTGTTGATCTAGCTCCATCTGATTTCTTATCCTTTTATTAAACTGTTAAAAAAAGGAGAGAAAAATCTTAAAACATTTTGACTGCAGTCTGTGGACGTGTTTCCTCCCTGCTCTCACAAATCCTGTAATCCCTCAGATTTGGTTCTGTTGGGATTACAGCAGACACTCGAAGTCGTTGCAGCGGCTCACGTCGAGCAGTGAAGTACTTTACTGCTTGGCCACCTGACGTGGACCCTCTTCTTGTCACCGCCAGGCTGCTCTTAGTCCATCCAGCGTTTAGTGGGGGGCGGGGCCGCAGGATGTGACGTTCGGCTCGGACACTAGGGCGATCCCTCACTATTCCCTAATCAGCGCTCGTCAATGCTAATGTTTGGTCAGTCGGATTTCTGTAAGAATGGCTGACTGATTCCATGCTGTACGGCTGCAGTGGAAACCGAATAGAAGTATCCGAGTTCCGCAGCTATGGATCTAACTTTTGCTGTAGCAGCAGTTATCTTCACGCTTCTCGCCATCGTCGCTGCAACGTTCCTGTTGAGCGGCTCCAGGTCTGCAGCGAGCGTCTGTTCCGGGCAAAGACTGAAGGGGTCTGCAGCAGGAAGGGATCAACCCGAGCCAGAACATAACGGGCATTTACCGAGGGAGAAGGAGGTGAGATGGTGAGATGAGAAGAGTTCTCACGGTCACCGGTATATAGTCGAGGCGGTGCATGCTGTAAGTTTACTTCATGTCTCTGGACAACTGAAAAGGATTAAGTTACCAAATACAGGCTTGGGAGCCGTGGGGATGTTTTTGGTTCACCAAATAACATTTAATCTTTCTAAGGCTAGCAAAAGACCTCTCAAAGCCACTCGAAACAAGTATTTGACGTCACTATGTGCTGTCAGTGGCATACTGTTGTTGGGCAAAGGTCAACCCTAACCAATAAAAGCCAACTGTTAGTTTTTTGTCTTCAGCTGCTCAAAATGTCAATACAAGTGCTATGCAAAGTAGGGATGCACGATAGTATGTGTTGATAAATGCATTAAAAAACCTCAGGAGATGAATTGATTGAGACCAAATAGCTATTTGTCGTTGTCCAACTAAATCTGACCCTTAAAGCTCTGATACAATGAGAGCTCCTAAAATGTACTTTTTCTCACCCCCAGAATGAAGAACCTACTGAGAGCCTTGATTTCAGCGGTGAGCACCTTCATAAAGTCATGAACTGTTGTACTTTTTTTTTTTAAAAATACAAACATTTCCAAAGATTTTACCCTGATGTTAATCTGCTTTATTAGATGACATGGAGTCAGATTCCGACAGTTCCATAAAGTATGTTCCAGGAAAGGCACGATCCCATCACTTGGAAAAGATGATGTCACAGGAGGAGCTGGACCAGGAGAAGAGGTTAATAAAAAGTCCAGTGTACAATAACAAGCTCATAAGTCATTTTTAACCTTTACATCAGTTTTGTTTAGCTGTTCTTCATGTCCTCTGGGGGCAGCAGATACCTGCTTTATATCCATGAGGTCTAAGTGAAGTGATCACAGCTGTCCACACTCCTTTCCAACCCCATCCCCAAATTAGATGTGTTGATCAGGCATGTCAAAGCGGGTGTTGATTGAGTCTCCAGACATTAATCTTATTGGTTATAAAATGCTGTGAACAGAATCAGCAGGTTGTTAAACCTATGCACTCTTCTGCCACAAGGAGGAGTCATAGCACCATGATGTGTTATAGATAAACAGTAATATTTGTTTTACTTTAGCCTAAACAAACAATGTTTAAGATTTAGGAGTGGTTCCATATACCATCTGTGAGAATGTTTGTTCAAGAGGGTGTTCTCATTAGACTTCTGTGCCAGGGGCAGCTTTGCTGTTCACAGGCGTGTACTCAAAGAATAACTCTGTCTCGAAGTAGTAGCTGTCAATACCTGCGTATAAAAAGTATACAGATTTTGTTTTTTCTCTAAACAAATAATGATGTTCATTCCCAATTTTTCTGTGCGTGTCATTCAGAGTGCAGCAGGAACAGTTGGCTGCCATCTTTCAGCTGCTGAGAGACAATAAGGATACGTTTGGGGACGTGTCAGAAGGAGACATGGAGGAGCAGCTCAAACTCTACTCTATTTGAGACTAGTTTGCTCTCACCGTCTTCAGTACAGAAATACTTCATAAAGTCTGTTCAAAGTATTCAGCACTCCTGTAATCTCAAGTTTTTTATCTTTTTAAGAATCAAATATTTGGTCTTTTGTAGTAGTTGACAATCTGATGTGTACATTAACAACTTCACTAAAGTCCCCAACTAAAAATATTAACCAACAGCCCAAATGGATAAATGTGTGTTAGGGTTTTGATGTCAAACACTGGCATTCCACAATCAGCCTACGCGTGATAATGTTTTTGACCAACTTTGCTTTTATGTTGACACGCCTTTGATGTGGCACTGCTGCAAGGTTACACAATGTCAGGATATTCATTTATCTGTAGTTCCGTCTCCTAAACATTCCAAAGACTCTCTGTGTCTGGACTCTTCAACTATCATTCCTCCAGTAAAAATGATAAATCTGTCTTTTTGAACCACATTGTTACATTTTGTGTTTGGTGAATCCTGGCTGGAAGTGACATCGCCACATCACCCTGACAGGCAGCAACAATAGGCTAAATGCATTGTGGGTAATCATTTGATCCACATCTTGACTTTCTCTGAATATAAATCTAGATTACCTCACTATGTGTATTCGGTCTATTGGCATTTGCTCCTTTATTTTTTACATTTTCTTTTTTATTATTCTTTAATTTTTTCACACAGTCCTAGAGGCTCATCTTTGCCAATTTGTCAAAATGTTCCTGTTTAATCAAGTACAGTAAGACTGTAGTAGGATTATCAGTTTTCATGATTTTTAAAACTAGTATTTCAATATGTTTTGCTTTCATTTGGATTCACATCTGTTTCTTTTCTTTTTTTTGTAGCATTAGTAAGTTATTATACATTTCTGTGACTAAAAGTTGTAATTAAAAAAGGACAAACATTATTGCTTTAGATATGAATCACACGTTTGAACTCTTACAGACTTGCCAGACTGAGACCTGTTGTGTAATAAACCACACTGGTGTGTATTAAAAGTTTCTGTGTGTGTGTGAGTATTTGCTCCTTAATTCATATAGCTTTGTAGCCCTGCCCAGTCACCCTGGCTGACTCAGTTTCTAAAACTCGTGGTAATCTGTAAACACGACCGGGGAAGGACAGAAAACTCTTGGCTTCCTTAGACAGAAGTTTATAACCTGTTCTTTCTTTCTTTTGTTTTTTTTTCAAGATGCCAAGATCCTTTTTTATATTTTTTGTGCTTTCGCTCAGCACTGTGCTGCTTGTTTTCACATTGGGACATACGTTGAAAGACATTCGGTGAGTGGGATTTCAGCCATTTATGTTTATTTGTAGTAGATTGAGCAGCTCAATACTACATGGTAATACAACGGCTACTATTTCTAATCCACTGAACTCTCTCCAGTCATGTTTTCAGAGAAGTCGATCGTTTATCCAAAATGTCCACCACAGCACTTGCAAAAACTGACGTCTCATTGAAAACCAATGAAACCTCTTCAAATGGAGCTGTGGCTGAGACCCCCATGCCCGTGCTCTTCAAAAGTTCCTTCAAGAGTGCTCCTCAATGGATCTTTGACAATGTCTACAACCAAGATACCCCAAGCAGACAGACAGTAAGCTCCCTGTGGATGAGTCTGTGTTAAATGAACTGTGTGTGAAACTATCCTTGCTGACTTGAAAAGTCCTATTTCCTGGATCAGAGTTGGGTGTGCTGGTACCACTTTTGTTTCACAGAAATACTGATATATTTTCAACATACCCACAGTGAAACTAAATAATTCTGAGATACTCTAAATGATTTACCTAAAGTCTTTATTCCTTTTTCAATGTTTATTCCTACATTTTCAGACATGTGCTCAGTCTCTGCAAAACTCTCAGGATGACAGTTTCAGAAAGTCTTTCCTGCCCAACATCAGGTTGTTTCTGCACAAAGATAGTATAAATATGAGCGAGTGGAACCGGCTCTCACACTACAACAACCCTTTTGGTTTTATGGAGTACAATTACAGTGGTAGGCACCAGTGAGCATTTGGTTACTTTAGGATTTATATTGGCCCTTTTTGCAGTGGTGTGTTTTCTGGGTTGCAGATGTAATGAATGCAGTGAAGCTGATCCCAAAGCCTAAAGAACCTCTGCTCGTACCAAAGCCAGGCAGCGATGGCTGTGTGCGCTGTGCTGTGGTGGGCGCCTCCGGGATTCTTAATGGCTCTAGAATGGGGACAGAGATCGATTCACATGATTATGTCTTCAGGCAAGAAAGAATATTAAATTTTAAAAATGTTGTTTTTCAGCATTTACTCTGCATTTTGTGCTAATGTTTCACAATCAAAAGGGTCTGAAATATGACGTATCACAATGTCAGAAATATGTTTCAACCTGTCAGAATTTGAACCATTTTTCATTCCCTTTTTTGTCCAGTCAACTATTTTGCTTCTTTATTTTGTCTCACACTGAACGTTCTTTGAATGACTTGATGCATAGAGGTCATTTCATGTGTATGTTTAAGTCTGTCTCCTGCTTTGTTTTCTCACTGCATTGCACAAACCCAGCAGTGGCATCTATTCACGCATTTGAAGGGTTAAGACCCCTGTTATCACCAGCATTATTCACAGGTGTCACACATGTCACTTTTTATTAAGACAGTGAGAAAAGGGAGGGATGTCAACATAGGTGCAGCACCGGGATGTGTTAATGTGATGGTAGTCGGCAAATATCTTAGATGCTGAATATTTTCTCAATTGTAGCATAGCATCTTTGCACATGTTGTCTTTATTAGCTGAAAGTGTTTTACTTTGTTTGGCAGGATGAATGGTGCGGTCATCACCGGGTACGAGGAGGATGTTGGAGAAAAGACATCAGTGTATGTTCACACGGCGCATTCCATCACTGCCTCAATGAAGTTCTTTAAGATTTACGGATACACATCTGTCCCCAAAGATGAGGTACTGAAACTCTGTGGTACTGAGATGGTGTTGTCATGGTTTGAAGAAGACCCTCACCTGTCCTCCTTTCCTTCTTTGTCCCAGGGTATCATACATGTGCTGATTCCTGAAGGCTTGTGCGATTTCACTTGGCTGCAGGCTCTCATCAGAGGAGAAAGAGTCACTACTGGTCGACACAAGAACACCGTGTAAATAATCACACATTTTCCACCTGCAAGGTTCAGTAAAATGGAACACTGGGAAAAGTTTGAATTGTTGCATTATCACACTTTTTAAAATATATAGCCTAAGGTAGTGGAATGGGAGCACAGTAAATACCAAAATATTGAATAGCATTCAATAAAGCAGAACATTTTTAGATTTCTTCTTCTTCTTTTTTTTTTTTTTTGGTGGTGTATTTTATTGAGACTTTCCTATTTGGTAAAAGCTGACAACAGTTCAGGTCATTGTACTCTTCCAGATCCACCCAGAGGACTGTGTAGTCAAGGTTAATCCAGTTTAACCACAACCACCAGAGGAGTGTTAATTATATGAACACAAATTCACAAGTCTCTTCCTGTCATTTAATCACAAATGCACTGTTGTGTTTTCAACCATCAGACCAAGGACGTTCTACGCTGGACGGTACAATGTGAGCCGCTTCTATGTTCTACACCAGGACTTCCTCAGATATGTGAGAGACAGGTCAATAATCTTTTTTCATTCTAAACCAAAAACATATAATCTTAAACACTGCGTCAGTAAATATCTGTGTATTTATGTAGGACGAAAACTACAAAAATTAGAGGTTACTTGTGGCAAATTGACAACGAACTGTTTTGATGCAATTAGTAAACTAATTTGAAAGATCAACGAACTGTTTTGATGCAATTAGTAATCTAATTAAAAACAAAATATGAAAGAATCTGGGAAATGAAACGTCCAGTCTGCACCGTATGTTATGCAAATTAGAGGAAACGAGAGACAGCCAATCAAAACTATGTTTTTTAATAGACGCGGGCAATTCAAACAGATATCTAATCATAGGGAAGCAACCAGACACCACAATAAACAGAAGACATTATGGAGTCCAGAGTCGGGATATTCGATTCGTTTATGAAGTAGCGTGTCATAAACATGGACGGTAGTTCAGATATACTTTTACTAGACACATTCCAAGAAACAGTTGGAAAGACTATTAGAGAAACGAACCTGTGGCAATTTTGAAACGTCGTCATTCAAGTTAAGGTAAGCAGACGAAACATTTATATTAGCTAAACGGCTAATCTACGAGGCAAAAATACCTACTGGTATTTATTACGACGTCGTATACCTAGGTATACCTTAATACATTTTAAAAAATGTATATGCTTAAATAATTTGTTCCCAGAAAGGTATACTTAAATATAATTTATAATAATAAAATAGCTTCCCAATATAATACAATAAAAGCCCAATGGAGATTTAATAAACAGAGTTGAGTTAATGTTATAAGTATGAAAATAATATAAGCATTGTTTAAATATAATCTAAATTGTGTTGCCAAAAGTACTTTAAATTGCCTTCAATTGACTTCAAATAAGATAATAGTATTTTTAAAACTAAATTGGAGCTAAGACAGAGTCGCTATTGAGTCCATTAAGACCAGATCAATGTTAGTTTATATGTAGAAGCATTTCTATAATAACAGTGACGTCCTGATACAGATTCCTTCTGTCACCTCACCTCAACGAGTCACACTGGGCCTTGGTCAGGCCAACCAACGGAGCATTCACCCTCTTCCTGGCCCTCCACACCTGTGACACAGTAAGTTACCTGAGTATTATTGAGGCAAACCTGCGCAGATAAATACTTTTGGGAAATTCTGTGTGAAAAAAAAGCCAGTAGAACAATATCCTTTTGTTTACAGCTATGGGGAAATGTATTTGTCCTGAGAAACTTGAAGTTCTTTGATAAGTGTATGCAGCCATTCATTCATGGATTCACAGGTCAAATGTATAAATATGTGAAAAAAAAGGAAAGAAATATTTTACACAATATAGATTGTTTGGTATCACTAGTGCATATTGTGAGATATTTTTCCATGAGAATATATACAAAATTGTATTATCCCAATTCTCCTTGTTCCCAGGTGAATGCATATGGATTCATTACAGAGGACTATGAGAAATACCCCAACTACTATGTGGAAAAGAGTGTTAAAACCCCAGTTACTATGTACATAAATCATGACTACATCCTGGAGATGAAAACATGGCAAAAACTACACCAGAGTAAAATAATAAAACTATACCAAAGAACAGACTCAGAAACAGAGGCAGGGCAGCCAAAGTCACCGTAAGGTAACGTTTGTTCTTTACATAATTTGGTGTTTTATTTTGTTAATTGAGTATATGCTTATGCTCAACTCAACTCACACGCATGTATCGCAGTTTACCACATGGTGTCGTTGTTTTACGGTTTACAGCGCCTCGAACGTGTGTTCTTGTAAAGTGTAACGCATACACAACATTGTACTATATTACAAAATCATCGAAACGAAAACACGTTTTTAAGAACGTTCCCCATCAAAGTGATAAAAGTTAGGTTCATATTAAAGATACGATCTTTGTATGAATGCAATTGAACAAGATCTCCAAAGAAGTCCAATCATGCATTGCGCCGCAGTGTGATTCGCTATACTAAAATTAAAGTAAGCAGTGGTTTGTTAACACACATATTCCGAGGCTGTGGTGAAGATTTAGTTGTTTAAAATGTCCTAGATATGTTGGATGTTTATAGTTTACTAAAGGTACTACTGTATATAGAAACGATATTATCTATATTTTCAAATGATGACTATGCATTAACTGTTGTTTACCACACAGGGTCGCTGTTCTGCAGTTTGCAATGGTGGCGTTCTTGTTAATGTGCTAGTAAAACAAACTCATACAGAAGATTAAATTTATGACCCGATGCTGTATTTTGTAACACTACCAATATTTAATAAACTAACTTTAGTAAACCCACTAATATGTTTAGATATATTAAAATAAAAAAATGTTTGCTATGATTTACACAGTTTAGCGAAACCCGAGTCCCATGATGCATTGCGCAGCAGTCCAAAGAACTCGTCTACTATATAAAAGATCGATTATATCAATATTAAAACTCGAAAATATCCACGCGAGTGCATTTATTTTGTAGATAACTAGAATTATATTATATTTATGAGTGGAATAGTAACAACCCGTGACCTAAAATGATGTTGCTGTACGTCTAGATGGCCTTTGCGACGTTGTTAAGGCAGTTCACTCTTGTTTCTCTTCAGATCGTATAAATCTTTCGCCTTTTACTAAAGATTTCCGTGGAGAGGAACAACAAGAGTTTATCTCAATTTTTTGATGCCCTGCTAACGCGGGGCTTCCTTATGCTGTTGAATGAAACGACAATTAAACGGTTCTGCTCAATTTGCTGATGTTATACGTTGTCCTTAACTGGCAAATGTTAACAATGCAGAAACTTCGTAGTCCGCAGTTTGCGTTGGTTATTTAAGTCGTTTCAACAATGTGCAATGTCATCGTTGATCATCAATTATGATATAAATATATTTTATTTAAGTACTTGTTTTAGGAATACAAAATTAAACATGTAACTTGACAACTGTCAGAAAAAAATACGTTGTTTTACACAAACGTTGGTTTCCGATCAACGGGTAACACTATTTTTAGCTTAGCTACTCTTCCCGAATATATTGAAAGTCGTAGAACAAAGGAAATCCTTAAATAGGTCTGTAGTTGATACTGCTGTGATCCAGCTCCAGTTATGGGTTTACAGGAAATTCTCCACAAAAGTACGGCAGTTCGCAGGGACGAGAATGGAAGATTACAAAGCAACACATTGTAGCCCGGTTTTAGAAGTTTAAAAACTTATGATATTCGTATAAGATGTAAATATTGTTACAGTATTCGCCAGAACAGAAAACAGATCATCACTAACTTGATGATTTGAAAGATTTTGTTGTATTTTTTGCAAAAAGAAACAATATTATCTCAGAAAATCAAAGGCCTGTTCTTCACTGAGTTTAAAATAAACTTGTTTAACGTTAACCCCAAAACGTATGACTACGCATTAACTATTGTTTACCACACAGCGTCGCTGTTCTGCAATCTGCAATGTTGGCATTCCTATTAATTTCCACACGTGCTAGTAAAACACTCATACAGAAGAAACAGTTAAACATTAATGCTGTATTTTGTAACACCAGCAACATAGTACAACTGTTAACTCTAAATAATGGTTATATATTTTAGAAAATAGCTGGTTTGTGATTGTATATATTGTAGTTTAGCGATAAGCGAGTCCCATGATGCATTGCGCAGTAAACCAAAGTAAACTCATCTACTATATAAGAAATCGATTTTACCAACGTTGAAACTCTAAAATATCTGTGAGAGTGCATTTATTCTTGTTTATTCTATTATTTAAGTAATTTACATGGGGTCCTTACAAGGTTAAAGAATGTAACCCATGAGCTAAAACGTTGTTGCCGTGGATCTCGATGCCTTTTGAGCTGTAAGGGAGGCAGTTCACTCTTGTTTCTCTTCAGATCGTATAAATCTTTCGCCTTTTACTAAAGATTTCCGTGGAGAGGAACAACAAGAGTTTATCTCAATTTTTTGATGCCCTGCTAACGCGGGGCTTCCTACTTTTGTCAAAAAAAAATTCCAAAACCATCTATAGGGGTGCTAAGCTAAAGGTTTATTGAAAACCGAATTCTGAGTGTAGTCTAGTGGCAGGTTGGAATTGTTGCGGTAGAGAGAGCTGTCCCCGCAGAGCAGAAATCAAACAACAAACCGCAAAAGGCAGCTTTTTATCATTGCAATATTGTTGAGTGTTGCAACCATGGATGATTTTTCTCGAAATGTGTATTTGTTTGTTTTATTGTGTTGAGTTTGAAATTTAATGTAGTGTCACTTTAAAAAATTAAAGGCACTCAATCTGATAACTGGGACGCTTTAGTGTAACTCAATGCCAAGGTTCATTTTGTGAAATTATCATTAAATTATTTAACCGAACTGAATGAAACGTACAGCTTTATAGAAAACAATGCAACAATATGAATGTAAGACAATAATGTCTTTTTTTAATATGATGGAGTCTACAGTGGCGTACGTATGCAAGGTTAAAAAACGAGGCAACTAAACACATTTTTATTAGTGTACATATATAGACAGTAGAGGATATAGTACACACACACCGCATTAACAGATGCAGTAAACCCTTTAAGTATGAATCCCTGCCCTTCCTCCCTGCTTCATCCCTCAGCTCCTCCCGTTTAAAACGTGACACACATCAGTAGTGTGACAGGTCACGTGACGGCCCAGCGTTGATCCGGAAGGAGGGAGGGGAGAGAAGTAAAGGGAAGGAGGAGGCGCAAGGGGAGGTAGAGGAGGAGAAGGAAGAGGAGGAGGGGGCGGCTGATGTTGCTGAGAATCCGGTGTCAGGTTAGCAGAGACGGCCATAGTCGCACTGGAAAACGGAAATTGTGAGCCTTCAAAACAAAGGTTATAAAAATATATGATAAAGTGTACATTATTTTATTTGTTTTTTATCATATGCACAGTGCATCACTTATTCTTCTGCCCTGCAGGTATTGCTAACCCTCATCTGAAGGCCCAGTTATGTATATGTTCCCCTGTGGTGGACTGTTGGGATGTTCTGACTGTTGAGTGGTAAAAGATATATACAATATTGAATAGCAAAATTACAAATTAAACAAATTATTCACTAAAATAGCTGACCATTGCATTAACAGTGTTAATAAGCTGTTGTTTTTTTACTTCTTATTCCTGATATTATTGTCTATCCATCCATCTCTCTCCGCTTATCCATAACCGGATCTCAGGGGCAGCAGTCTCTACGACCGCCACCTAAATCACACTACACTGCACCAGCCCCTCGTGAACCTTCCTGTGGGTGGTGAATCCACTGGAAGGCACCAACTGCCCTAACCGGGATTCAGGAGGTGAACCATGGGGTTCAACATCATTAACAGAGACACTGCCCCTGGGCCAAAGCACCACTGATATAATTGTTTTGTTTGTTAAATATTGCAATACACATGACTATTGTACCATGTACAGTATAACACTTTCAAGTTTTTCTTACGATATACAGTATTTGTCTGCTTATAAAAAATAAAACTAATCCTGATAAGTTGTTTGTTTTCAGGTGCTTTGGTGGTCACAATGAGGCTGTTTTGTTAATTACTTTTGAAACCAATTGGTTAAAGAAATGTATTGTGCTTGTTTTCTACTCTAGTAACAAGTAAATAAAGATAGCTACTGACATGTTTAACAAGTATTGATGGACAAGGGACTTCTGTGTCGCTTAATAAATACAGGCGTTTAATGTTTTAAAACAGTAACCGGAAGTTTATCCTCCATGTAGTAAACTTGACTGTAGCTTAGTGAGCAGTCCAGCTCGCTTGCATTCCTCCTCTCTCCTAAGCCTGACGGCCAGAGAAGAAAGGAGGTGGGGGAGAAACAGAGACATATTATTATTCACAACCGTGTTGGATTTTCATGACCCACGGAGGCGACTCACACCGGGCGAAGCGCAAAGAAAAAGGCCAGGATAAAACAACCACGTATATTCGAGTCCGTCCTGCGTTTGGATCTACAACACCGATTTATAAAAGGCGTCTTTTTCTTCGACAAAGACGGGACTGTGTGTGTTATACGTCTGCGTAGGTCATCTACCGAATAGAAAAGCAGGTTTGGTGAAACAGTCTGGCCAATGGTTATTATTCCTCTGTTTTATATAAAAAGGAGGATTTACAAGATGGCTGATGACAGCTAGCCCTAACAAGGACAGAAGAAGCGACGTCCCCTTTAAGATTAGCTGGGTGTATTTTGGTATCTATATCAGTTGAATATATAAATATGGCTGCTTTAAAAAATAATGACGACCACACACCCCGTTGACAGAGAGCTTCCTTGTAGGGCAACGGTGCCAGTGGAGTTTATTATTTATCTGTAACCTGGGCTATGGTAGAAAATGGTGAGGTGACGTCGGAGTTAATTTACGCGATTTAAATCGAGATAAGGAAGTGGAACAATTATGTTGTTGTTGCTGTTGGCCACAGGCTGAGGCGACGTTCCGTGAGGAGGCTAAAAAAGGCCAAAGTAAAAAGAATAATTTACTAGAGCAGTGTTTGGGGAAAAATAAGAGAAACACTAGAATATTTGATAGATGTGTCGGAGGGGGGAGAAACTGAAGGCTCTGCAACAACAGCAGCCAACATTCCTGCGGATCCTAAAAGCCTTTGTTTTGTGCGCAGGAGCTGGACTAGGCTATGAAAAACGATTAACTATGCAGTAAACAGCCCGGTAATCATGATCCGGGTATGATTTGTTTTAGGTTTGTTGAGATTATAAGGCCTTTTGTTGTCGACAGAAGACCCGGCGGAGAGGGAAAAGCCTAGGCCTTGTGTACAGATATGCGCTCTGTGCCACATCGCGGGCGTGATTATTATTATTCATCACCGTAGAAATGTGGCTTTTTACGGCAGACTGAAGCTCTGGAGGAGAATGTGTCGCTAATCTGACCTGAGAGAAGGTTGGTTTCCTGCCTGCTATGTATAATTAAATCGCTGGTAGAGACTTATTTATGATTCCGTAGACAAAAGCAGTGCGCTGCGTTGATTATTCAGATGATTCAGGCGTCCTTGAGTTCCCGATAAAACAGATTCAGGTGTAAAAATATAACAATCCGTTTTATGTGTTTTATGAGTAATCAGGGTGTGGACTATGGCAGTCCTTCCTCATGCTTTTTATGCTTTATGCATTTGTTTGGTCCTCCTTCAGTCATAATCTAAGGGTAGAGTAAAGGGAGGGAGGAAGGAAGGTCTCAAGGTAGGGGGTTGAGTAGTGAGAGGATCAAGTGTCTCTTCATGACCACGTTGAATAATTGTGTAGGTGTTTAGTTTTCTGTGCCTTGTTTGCGTTTTATGGTTTACCTGTAGCTGACAGGCATTCAGGTTTCTGAAAACCTATAAAGACACACACCCACCCACTCACACATAGCTGTAAAGGTAGGCCCAGTGTGTGTGAGTGTGAGCATGATTTAGTGGAAATTACAGCACTGTTTACTGTAACCGTTGTAACGTCAGCCCTTGTAGCTTGTTGATATCACCTCGCCTGAAGCCTTCTCTGGACAGTTTTCTTTTTGGAATTTGCCTTCTTGCTGCAGCAATAAGTAATACTTGTCATCTTGTCAGGGAGACGCAGGAGTCTAATTTGGTCATAAGGGTCAAAATACACACTCTGATCTTTCGGGACAGAACCAGGTCTGTTTTTATCTTTTTTGCTCAAGACTTTTTTTTTAGAGTGTCAGGTTTCCTGTGAGGCCTAGTGGTGTGGGAAAAGTGGAAAAGAGTAGTGTATGCCTGCCTGCACCATGATGGCCTCTGACATGGCTGAGACGTGGAGGAACTGTTTTGAGGAGGAGCTCATTTGCCCCATCTGCCTACACGTGTTCTCAGATCCCATCCAGCTGCCCTGCAAGCACAACTTCTGCCGGGGCTGCATCAGCGAGGCCTGGGCCAAAGACTCCACACTGGCCCGCTGCCCCGAATGCAATCATGCTTACACGCAGAAGCCCAATTTGGAGAAGAACCACAAACTGTCTAACATAGTGGAGAAGTACAACGCCCTGAGCGTGGAAAAGGCCACTACGCCAGCATTGCAGTGCATCCTGTGCCGCCGTGGCCCGCCACTCCCAGCAGTTAAAGTCTGCCTGCGCTGCAATGCCCCGTGTTGCCAGTCTCATGTCCAGACACACCTGCAGCAGCCGTGTTCCGCCCTGGGGCACCTGTTGGTGGAGGCGGAGGCAGTGAAAGCCTGGACCTGCCCTCAGCATGATGAGTACAGGTTGTACCACTGTGAGGCCGAGCAGACAGCAGTGTGTCAGTACTGCTGCTTCGCCCGATGCCACCCCAGCCATGGTCATGCTGTCACCGATGTGGAGCTGAGACGCAATGACATCAGAGTAAGAATGATGATACAGGGTTATTTGTTGTTTTTTGTTGTAGAATTCACAGAGGTCAGTGGTAAACACCGAACCACACTTTACTTTGGTTCCTAGGAAAACAAAATATGTTTCATTATTGATTTCATATTCCACCAACCAGAACCTACATAAATGGGTCAAGACATTTATACACCTTTCTGTTTTGGTAGCAGAAAATGAACCTAGTTATTGTCTTCAAAAATCCTCAAACTGAATTGGACTGAGCATCAAAATCTATTTATGCCCTATTGTCATTTATTTTGATTATTTTATAAATATTGGTTCAAAAGCACAGAAAGATATTTTGATTTCTACAGCCTCACACACTGATGGTTTTCTAATACACACTGTCATTGCAAAGCAAACTGCTCTAAAACAAAGGTTGTATTTTAAACATAAATAGAAGTGACTCTTGTGTGTTTTTCAGATAACCAAACTCTATGACATAGCATATAGTATATAGTTGTATAAATTTCCCAGTCCTGTAAGTAATTGCCTGCAGACTGTTTATCTCAGCCAGTCTATCCTCTACAATTTTTAGTTGTGATCCACTCCAGCCCCTTCTCATCTGTTGGAATGACAAACAATGCAGTTGAGCGTGGAACAATGAAGGGCCCCTTAGAGGGCCTTATCTCCCCAGCACAGGTGCATCCTAGCTCAGGGATCGCCACTTGTCAAGGGGGTAGGGATAGAGTCAGGAGGAAGGGGGATTAAAGTGATTTGTCACTGGATTTGTTGGTCTCCTTAGGATTTTTTTTATTTTTTATGAATCTCTTCTTTTCCTAGGGTTTGGGTGCTCTGTGTCGACAGTTTGAAACCCATCTTCCTTTTTTCTTCTTTGAAGGTTCATATGACAGCGACTTTGAGTCAGAGGTTGAAACCTTCGGGCTTCCTTGCAGACTGACTCATGTGTTTCCCACAATTCCATCTTAGGTGTCAACTATGTAGTAGATGGGTGTGTTTCCTGTTAGTAAAGCTATGACTCAGCTCTATGTATAGTTAATCAGAGATCTAGGGCAAAAAAAGATCATTGAATGTTTGCTGGTCTAAGTAAAACACAGTAGAATAAACAGAGTCTAATTCAATCTGGATGTTCTGGTTCTGAAGGCAGTCATCAATTATCATTTCCAAAAGTCTGATGCAACATTACTGAAAGAAATTTGGCATAAACACATGAATCTGTGGCCATGTGTGCTGAGTGACATTTTAAAGGAAGCAAAAATTAAAGCAGGAAGCATGAATAAACAATTGGATTTCATTTATCAGCCCCGTTATCTGCAGAATGGGGAAATGTAGTGAGGTAGATATGTTGGATTATCTCAAATACAGAAATGTGATTGGGATTGTTGATTAGCATTTTTACACCATTACCTTTTAAAAAAAAAAGTTAATACCTCAAATTACAGCCAGACTATTTTTCACTGCCTCTGCATGAACACTCTTAAAATCCTGATTTTTTTTTTTAATATCACTGAACAATTCAAGCTTCCTTCTCATTCATTTTGGTTAAAGTCGTGTCTTTGTTAGCCTGGAGAAAAAGCCCTGGAGCGTTGCTCTTTGTGAAGTGACTTTTTATGAACTTATTGCAGATTTTATGATTTTATGGAAAATTGTGCCTCGGAGGAAAGAACCCTAACTCCAAGTTATGCGACAAAGTCTTGACATTGATTTAAGGCATTCTTAATTTAGTTTTTCTATTTATGTTATAGCTTCACGTTATGACAGTGGAAAATAGTGAAAATCTCAGAGCCCAGGTTGATGTTTCAATGTTATATTTTACAATATAACATTTTAAAAACTCAATACCTTAAATTCATTGGTTACTTCATTTGTAGGTTTCTATTTGTTATGTTCAATGTTAGTCGCTTTGGATAAAAGCACCTGCTAAATGTAATGTAATTCAAACAGCATGTAATCCAAATTATATACAGTAAAAATACCTTACAATGAGCAGAGGTAGAACTCTGTGTCGACAAAATGGCCATTCCTTATAAGAGTGTTATAAATCATCATTAGTCTCCCACATGCTGGCATTTAAAAAAAATAGTTGTCAGCTTTTGTTGTATGTCTTGTTCAATATAGCCATTATTTTGCCCCCGTCAGGAAACCTGTTAACTCTCTGTGAATGCTGTCAGACCAGTATCACCAAATGGGTTGCTGGTTGCGGTCCAGTTATAGGCTGAACCCCAACCTGAGCTTTGATTAATGGGCTGCACCAGGAAGGGCATCTGGTATGAAGATGCTGACGTATCATGTTTGCGGATCATCCTTTGTGGCGATCATGGACACCTTTCTTTACGGCTGGTTCCTCAACACCAGGTGCTAACCACAGACAGATTTTAGGGCTAATAACGTTAATATTCTTGACTGTCCCTCTGTAGCTCTTTCTTTGTGACCAAAGAATACAGCATGAACCACCCCCTACAAACACACACCCACCTACAGTCGCTGTTCTTCACTTCCTGTCACCCACACACAACTACTGTCCCCATCACTTCAGCTCACTCTTTCACACCAGCCTTCTCTGACAAGGACAGACCTTCCCTCCAGCCCTGCTCTTGTGTCTTGTTGCTCTGATGGAAGAGATACTGTGGTGAAATGACAGCTAAAGAGCAACCTTACCCTCTTTATACGCCCCCTTTTCCACCCTTTCTCCCTCTCTCTCCCCCAAAGGTATCACATACATGTGCTAGCACCACTCATCTGGCGTCCACCCCTCACCCACTGTCTGGGAAGCTCTAGATCCTTCGGCCCTGTTTTTCCCCTGGCTTCTGCTCGGCGCCTAACTCAATCAATCAGCACAACCAGGTCACAGTCCTGGATCTAACCAAGCCGTGTCTGTGTGTGTGTGTGTGTGTGTGGGAGGGCCAGAGAGGAAGAGATAGCAATATGTAGGACAGTGGTTTCTAAACATGTGCTGGTGAGGCCCAGGACTGTGCAGATTTTCATTCCTATCACAGCAGCTGATCATGCAGGGAACTGATAAGATCAGCTGCTGTTCAGTGGGTATGAATGGATTTTGATGATGATGATGATGATGGTGGTGTGCATTAAGACCTTCATCCATTGGAGAACAACAGACTATTGACATGTAAGATTAATGAGAGATTTTTTTAAAGCAACATTGGCAGCTGTCCTGAATGAAATCTCTTCATAATTATTTGGTATATTGCCATGGATTTTTATTAGACATGTTTCATCAACTTGACCTTTATGATCACATCATGAAAGTCTGATTGTTGTTTGTTCCCTGTTCAGTCACTCACAGTACACATTCAAACATAACTTTTTAGATGGATTACAAATGTATTTATTGATATCCACAGACTTGAAAAGCATGCTGTGAACATGTTTTCCTTGCATGTCATCATCATTCAGACTAGCACACTAATGTTAGCGCCTAGCCTATGTAGGCTTCTCTGTTCATTCTGGGTTGTGTAGTTCTGTATAAACAATTTTAGCTCAGAACCAATCAACTAATCAGCATTTTCCTCATTAAATATTGAGCTTGCATTGTTCATATCTTACATGAAATATTAATAACCAGAGGGATTAGGGTGTCTGTGTTGATGACAGTAGAAATGGGAGGTAACATAAGGGATTGTGAATCTGACAAGGACAGTTTGTTATGGTGTTTGGACTCTGCTGTCATTTATATGCAATCGTAAAGAGAAATAACAAGTGATGTTGCCACAGTTCCCTGAGCAGAGTCCATTCTGTGAATATGTGCACACCTCATAGAAATGAAGTGCGGCACAGAGGAGAAGAGGTCCGCTCAGGGGAGAGGAGAGAGAGCTTTTTCTGCCACTATGTGCCCATTTATCTATCTCCACTCGCTGCTCGTCACTCCCCCCACATTAGTCCTCACTCACTAAAAACACAAAATAGCTGCTGGTTGCCATGGCAGCTTTCCTCTCCCAACTCCCCCACAGGGAGTTGTGTGTGTGTGTGTGTGTGTGTGTGTCGCATGTGTGTGAGGTTAATTTAGTCAGCTGCTGTATCCAGATATCACAGTTGTGTAGTTGGAATGATGGAGCCGGAACCACGGTCACAGACCTAAAGAGTTTCTTTTCTTTCCTGCAGCAAAGCCTGTTACGACAGCAGGAGCGCGTCGAGGAGCGAGTGCAGGAGATCGAAGAACAGCTTTGCAAGCTCGACTCTGACAAGTGTGTTGTGGAGGTATGTTTTTATGCTCCAGCTCTGTAGGAGTAAACATGAACACTCATAATTTTATCAACTCTCCACCAAACTGTTATGTAACAAAAGACAGAATGAGGTCTGGAATGACTGTCTGTTCCCTAAAAATCTAAAAAACGATGCTCTTATATACCTTTATATAACCTGTTTTTGCTGACAGGATTATGTAACTCACAGTCAATCCACGTGTATGTAGGCCAATCAATTAACTACGTGTTTGTTTAATGTCAGATAAACAAGTGTTGCACAATTAGATGAGTAGCAACCACAGAGAGAAAATAACAATATTAAATGTATTATAGTTCATTGCATTTTGTTATTTAAAAAGAATGCTAAAATTGCCTAACAGCAATAACAATTGAATTGAATTGAATAGTATGAATAAATTGGCCAATGACTTGAATCAAAAGCACCAGAATCCCGAGGTATTTCTCTCCTTGTTTCTGATGGTACTGTTACATGTTTCAGGACAGAGTATGTGAGCTGAAGGAGGACGTGCGCCTGCAGTACCAGCGCATGCACCAGCTCCTGGAGGAGGATCTGGGTCGCACACTGGAGGCTGTGGACCGGGCCCAAGCTCGGTTCTGCCAGGAAAACGCCGCTCAGGTTCTTGTTCTGGGAGAACAGCGGCATGAGGCTCAGAAGCTGCTGAGCTCCATTCACACTGCCTTTGGTAAGGCAGAGGAGCTGAGCTTCATGAAGAACACCAAACCTGTGAAAATCCTCACAGACAGGTGAGAGAACGGTCATCGTCTGAACAGGGTTTTTTATACAGAGCTGATGTTTCCATGCAGAACAGAGAGGAGCCATGAGTTAAGATAAGTTCATCTGAACCTGCTGTATAAAACTAGCTTCAATTGTTTTTGTTTAATTACACAGAAAGTACTAGATTATTAGCCAAAAAAAATGACCTGTTTATTTAAGTGCATTTATCTGTTAACATGGATCCAGACAAAGAACACGTTTACAAAATGAAGTGATGTTTTACAAAAAGTTTTCATGTAATAAACATAAGTTTAGCAGCACTTAGCTGCAGCTAAGGGCAGATCTAGCACTGATGTGAAATACTTGACCGTTGCCACTTGCTGCAGGTCTCAGGCGTGTGTGGGCAGCAGCCTCCCTCCTTACAAAGTGGGGAATCTGAACTCTAAACTGTTCCTGTCTGAAATCTCTAAAAGAGAGAAGAGCTTGAAGAGAATGCTGGAAGGTAGGATCTCAAAAAGTCATTGAATGGCATCCAAGTCCTGATTGTGTTTTATTTTTCTTTTGTTTTGTTTGTTTTTATCTGAATGGTCATTTCTGTCTGGTCTGTTTCAGTTCCCCTCACCCCTCCCTCCAGCTTCCTGCAGTCAGTTCCTGCTTATCCCAGTGGTCAGAGCTCCGGTTCTGGAGCAGAAAAACGGAAACATTCCACTGCCTTTCCAGAGGGAAACGGGAGCTCTGGGAAAACCTCCGCTCCTAGTTTCAAGGACTCCTCTTCCTCCTCTTCTTCTTCCTCCTCCTCTTCGTCATCGTCCTCCTCGTCACTAGCCAAGCAGCCCTACCTGGGCTCCAGCTCTTCTTCAGGAGAAGGTCAGTCCACCACCAATCAGCAGCCCCTCGGTGCCTGTGGTCCACCTCACATCAGTGAGAGTGGCGGGACAGGGGGTGGGAGCGGCTCTCTGACCAACCATCATTCAGGTGGTGTGTTTGGCTCCTCGCACTTTGCTCCCGGTGGCAGTGGCTCCTCACACTCCTCCCAGCAGGCCGTGCTGCCTCAGTACGGCGGCAGGAAGATCCTGGTGTGCACCATGGATAACTGCTACTGCTCCGGAGTGCCCTCCGTGTCGGGCCACCGCAGCCACCCGCCCTACGCCCGCTCTGGCTCCTTCCCCTGGGTTAGCGCCCAGGACTACCCACCTCCTCCTGGCCTGGCCTCTGGAGGTCCGTCTATGCAGGGTTTGGCAGTGAGGGACTGGATAGACGCCTCACAGACGCACAGACATGCAGATTTTTACGGGCTTTATGGGCAGCCCTCAACAAAGCACTATGTCACCAGCTAACAGAGTAGACACACACACACACACACACACACACACACACATTCGGATATAAAGGTAACAAACAGCACATCATTACCAGCTTACTAACTGGAAAAATCGCAAATGCAGTTATACTCTACCAATAATAATATAATGTTTATACACACACACACACACACACACACAAAGAGCATGCACACACATTCGGGGGCAGGGTTAATCTATCTGTGTTTTAATTTTCCTCCTTTCTTCATTTTGGATCAGTGTTTTTTCACGTAGTGTAATATACGTAGAATACGTAAACAGCCAATTACTCACTGGGACACAACTCGGCTCAGCACCTGACGTGAGACGTGAGTTATGAGAAAGAAAGGCCTGAGACACTGATAAGAGAATTCTTCTTCTTGAAATAGAAAGATAATGTCACTGCATTTTTCCCCATTTAACAGTGTTTATCTGAAATGATCACCCTTCTGTCGTACTGTGGTCACTGGTCTTATGTTATTAGCATCACATTTTCTCTGCCTGGCAGACGTTGTTTAAACAGATCCCTTACCAAAGGATCCGTCCTGGACTTTTCTGTCTCCTGATATTTTTGTTTGTTTTTACCATCATAGCATCACTTCCTTTCTTAGTGAGTTCAGGGATGGATCGTACAGCTTGAACACAAAATGCTCTTCCATGGACACCCACGAGGCACATGTGGATGCCTTGGTATGCTTGAATCACAGGCACTTAGGGACTCTAAAAGCTGCATCTGAAGGGTCGTTTGTCCCTTCAGAGCGTCTGGAAAATCAGCGCTTATTGTCTAGCACTCCCTTCCTGCGACCAGGCTTCCGACAGGACAGAAACTGTTCTGACAAAGAACTGTTTTCATTTAGTTAACTATGACGACTTTGTGATTTTTTTGGTACATCACTCAGTGTCATGCTCGTCTAGACTGACTCTGAATTTAGAGGAACAAGGCAAGAGTGAACAGAACAGACCAATTAAGCATCTGCAGGATCTGGTGATGCTGTAATTGTACTTCCTGCAGGGCAAAGATGTCACTTCCTCTCAATAAGCACACAAGCTTTTGGCTTCCTGTTTGCAGCTGAAAGCATGCAAGAGAGAGTTTTTTTAAAAGCACTCAAAAAAGAAGAACAGTGGTTAAAAAAATTGAGTGAAAGAGAAACGTTGTCGGCAGAATTTTTTCATGAACTTTTTCTAAAAGAATGAAACTGGACTTTGAGATGTAAGAAATGGTTCGTCATCCTAAAGAAGCTGATACAGGAGTCGACGTCAACAGGAAAAGGCAACATAAAGTATCTTTTTTGTAAATATTTTGTGAAATGGAAACATTACAGACATGATTTGGAGAAGGGTTCCAAATAAACAAATTTAAACCAATCTCTGCTGTCAACTTCATATGTCTGAAGTCCTGCTGTTTGTTTGTTTTACTTTCAGTATTCTTTTTTTTTTTTTGACTGAATTGCAGCAGAAATTCACTACAGCAGTCCTGTAAAGTTTTCTTACACACAGGTTACACATTTTTACAGGTAAGTCTACATTGATATGGTTTTGTAGTCCCACTGCTATGTACTTTTTTTAACAGTCGTGAGGGACATTAACAAACCTCTCATTAACATTCACAGTCAGGTCATCACGAAGAACATTGTCTTGTCATGGTAGTAGTGGTATGTAAAGACTGTTACCATCCAATACATTTTGGTTGTACCCTCTTTAGTATTGTGTTTATTCCTCATAAAGGATTTGAAAAAAACCAAACACTCGCCTGCATTTCAAACAGGGCTCACGGGTCCGTGTGGGTGGAGGCCTGCAGAGAGTGAAACAGGATGGAGAGAACAAATCTTGAAATTAGTTTGTGTGTTTCCGTTTGTGTGTGAGTGTGTGTGTTCTCCCTTTAGCCCGATTAAGCTATCACATTAATCCTTTGCTCATAGCCAGCACTTTCAGGGATGTTTGAGTTGAGCAAGATGTCGGAGGATGAACATTAAGACACGCTGAGGTGATGAAGTTCCCTCAGAGAGGGCTCCTACTTTAGAAATCGTCTGTGCTTTTAGTACACTTTATTTTGCAAATCCTTTTAACTGATGTAGTCCTACAGTAAATCTGAGCTGGCTTTGGTCAGGCTTCGATGTCCGGCTTCACCGATCTTTGTGCTCCTGTGTTTTCACATTTTCTGTTGCCTTTGTTGGCTGTGTACATCCTATAACTAACTGCCATTATTAACTTAGCTCAGCTGCAATCTGCTCTGAGCAGCAACACCTGGATGGTGGCTTCATCGTAGCAGGACACTTCAACAAGGTCAGCCTACAAACATTGCTTTATAAATACTAAAACATGGGAGTCATACTAGCAGATAAAGTGGTTTGAAGTGGTTTGTGCTTTTGCCCAACAGCAGGTAGATTTGATAGCCTTTTTCTCCAGGTTCCCTTTTTCTCAGTTTTGACCTAACTAAAATTAAAAATTAAAATTGTGAATGGGATTGACAGTTTTCCTGTACTCGTGGCCCTGTGTTGGACAGATAGGTTGGTATATGTGTAGGTGAATATACTGAGTGGCCTTGATTCAGCTTTCCGTATGTTTTTCCATGATAATAATGAATATAATCCCACATTGCTCATAACCAGCCCGAGGGCCACAGTCTGTGTCCTGCTGCTGGTCCCAGGTCTGGATGAAGGAGAGGTTTGTGTCACAAAGGGCATCTGGTACACAGAACTGAGCCAAATCAAACAGGGTATCTGCTTTAGTGCCCCATGGAGAAGGAGGCAGCCTATAGAAGGAGATGTAAAATATAGAGAAGAAGAAGAATACAATGTTCGACTCCAGCTGTTGACAAGGATCAGGTGATGTGAATGACAGCTCCATCTGCTGTCTCCAAGTCAAGAATGAACTTGGTTAGAGGGGTGGAGGGTGGGTCTGCATTTCAACATGTACTGTTGTCCTAACTGTCAGTGGAGTCAAACACACCAACATGTTTCATTAATGTAGTGTCTCTTTACTCCACCCTTGTCTTCCTCCCACCTCTTCCTGCTCCCAGGCCGGTGGAGGCAGAGCTCTGATCTGCTGCTTCTCTTTCTCACGTCAGCAAACCTCAGCAGAGACACTGGCGGCCAACGACTGGGGGGATGGAGATGGAGCAGAAATTACAGGCCAGTCTTTTTTATCTTTTACTGTGCGACACACACACACACACACACACACAGAGAGAGAGAGAGAGAGAAGCTCTGCCTCTCCTGACACACATTTTCTCACACTTGTGCACACAGCTGTTGAACAGCTGTCTTATCCATGAGTGGAGGCAGTAATCTGGCCGCCTTTCATATGTATCTCACAAACACACACACATTGTTGAGCTCCTTTAAATTGCCCCCCCCCCGCCCTCTCTTTACACACACACACATACAGAGGGAGTGAGGGGGAAAGCCTGATAAAACAACCACAGAACTTTTTGTTCTCTTTTTTGCGGGCTTCAATAAACACATGAAAATAAAACAAGTTTAAAGTTTACCAGCAGGAAAAACGGACTGGTCGACCTTTGAGTTTATAAGCACTAAAGCCAAAGGTGTGTTCACAGGAAGTGCCTTCATTTTCTCTCTTGAAAGATGTTATTCTTGTCTCATGTCAGCAGTGATGTAGCGCTGTCATGTGGTCACCCTTTTCTTCAGGAAAAATATCTGTAACTAAACAGATTTAATTAGAAATATCAGTAAGTATCACCAGACAGCACATGAAAGGGTGAAGTAGTCACTGGTTTATATTACAATTAAAACCAAGAAATACTTCATTTCAAGTCAAATAAAATGCAGTAAAAGTAGATATCTTCCTGATGTTTCAAAGAGAGTTAAACTCTGAACATAACAGTGTTTTGTGTGAGGTTTAGCTATTTATGAATGAATTAAAACATTGTTAGCTAGTTGGATCTGTTTTTGCTACCTTAAGCATTTTTTTGGGCCATATTCCAGATAACCCAGTTGTACCTTCCATTACCTGCAGCGAGTTTCTCCTAACAGTAGCAGTTGTTTGGCTAATTTTTGTTTTGTATATGGACATTAAAAGCCTCCATTGTGGGTATTTTTCAGGGCAAATTCACTATTTCAACGCATTTTGCCCTAAGCCAATGTCAATTACTCAATATTAATATATTATTTTGACAAAAACAAATATCTAGCTTATCTAAATGAACCTAAGCTCTGTTAATTTAGTGCGGAAATTATATCCATAATTTTTTAAATAACAAAAAGTTTTTTGTTTTGTTAGCTGTGAAATGCTTAGATATAATTCTACTTTCTTGTATTCAAAATTCTGGAACACTACATTTTCTGCTGCAGATGGCTTGACTTCATAGATCATTTAAATGCAAATGTCCTTGAATTACACAAGCAGAGCTGGGTACAAAATTCCTTTCAAAATGGTAGAGTGTCTCTTCCTTAACAGGTTTTTTTCAATGTCACTGTTCATATTTTCCATAGAGATTTGGCAAATTAATTTGGAGTTAAAAGCCATAAATGGGGAACAATGCGAGCACATTTTATCTCGGAGGAGTGGAGGACTGCACAATGAAAAGCTTTGTGAGGGAAGAAGAAGAAGAGGCTGTTTGCAAGTCTCCGTGGTGCTCTGAATCACTCACATACACTGTTACACTCAGGGAAACACACAGCCCAGCACTGTTCCTGCAGCAGGAACACACTCCTAGACATGTGACACTTCCAAATGTCCGCTTTAAGGACTACTTTAAAAAACGGAAAGTTCTGGAAGACCATTGGTTCTCAACGTTTTTTTTTCTCTCCTCTGTGCCCCTAAAACTCACACATGAAGGATCAGGGTATTTCTACTTCTTTGGTTTCCTATTGTCATACACACATCATTCAACTGTGGTGAAGTGATGGGAGCAGCTGGTGATTTTCAGTCCATTCCATATGGTTGACCAGAGGTCTCACAGCCAGAACACCTGGGGGCTGATGAGCACACAGTCTGGATAGATTGGACCAGCGTTGTTTTTTTCACCTGGTGTCATTGGCCTGGTGTCCTGGTATATAACCCTCTCCCCCTGTCTGTCAACATCAGGTCTGTTCTGTCATGTGTTTCCCCTGTGTTCCCCTCGTCTCTGTTCTTGCCTCACCCATGTTCTCTGTTAGTCCTTTACTCAGTTCAGATTTTGTATGTTTTCCTGCCTCTTCTAAATTTGGACGTTGTTAATGGATTACGACACCTAATCTCTGTGTCGGCGTATGGTGTTACTGTAGAAACTGTGATCATCACATTAATAGCCCTGATTTTAATGTTGTTCCTGGTTATGGTCTGTATTATACAGAAAAGTAACACTTTTCGTCTGTCCAGTTCACTGGATAATTTGATGACAGACAGACACAGATGAATGTGAAATGGAGCAGAAGCATAAAATAATGAAGTCTAAATACTCAAGTGTGAGTATCAGATTCATGTGAACCTGCAGACCTCAGCAATTATCCAGCCCACAAGCTGGATGGGTTTGGTACATTCCAGATATTTGTCCCCCTGGCTAGAAGAAGAGGGAGAGAGAGAGAGAGAGAGAAAGAGAGGGAGAGAGAGAGGGAGAGAGAGAGAGAGAGAGAAAGAGAGGGAGAGAGAGAGGGAGAGAGTGAGGGAGAAAGAGGGAGAGACGGAGAGAGCTAATATCAAATCTAATATCTGAGCTCCAGGCCATGAAGTAGGAGGATACAGCACCACCTGCCTGAACCTTGGGCCCAGACAAGCTGTAATTCAGCTCGACTTCAAACTCTCACCTGGCCACAAATATAACAGACCTGTGTAACTGGTGTATCAACCAAGAACCAATGGTTTCATGAAGTTAAAATGTCCCTCTCTTTTTTCCTCTCCTGTTAGCAGATTACAAATAACTGATTCTGGTGCCCTGACATATGAGCATACTCATCAAAGGGCATAACACTAACTAACTAAACACTAATTAATGGGAAACAGGTTTTTAAATTCAAATAACACTTATAATGAAAACATCTGTATTTAAGTGTGATGACGTATATGCTGGGGTTGATTAAATAATGTTTAATCAATAACAACGTTCAAGACCACATGACGAGACAATGTGGCCGTGACTTTAACATTCAAACAGACGTACTTGTGGTTGAATTAACAGTTTTCTGTAAGAGAATAGTTCTCAGTTACATTTAATCCACTTCTCTATGCTGTCGCCCACAGAGGCCTCTCATCGACCTGCACGTGGTGTCAGGAGCAGCTGACTCCACCTGCTCTAAGTGTGGATACAAGAGCCTGGTTACATCAATGGGGTGGGGGTGGGGGGGTGGCGGGGCAAGGTAAAATGTTCCTGCATGTTCTGAGTCAACTCTTGTCCCGTGGTCTCATGAGTGAGCTCCAGTCAAACATGTGAACCTCAGGATTTCCTCAGTCACTTTTATTCACGTACAGTACCTTCAATTCTGGACAGTTTTACATTCAACATTATCAAAAGGAAATGTCTACGTAGCCAGTCTTCCTGCTAACCCACATGAGCACAAAGAAATGCATTGGGGCATACAGTACAACTCTGTTAAAAATCTGCCAGCATATATTAGATATGCACACATTATAGACTGCAGAGTACAGCAGGGTAACATGGACTCTATAACATATGCATAAACTAACATGTGAACACAGGGCAGGGCTAGGCTATTTACAGGTAATCCAAAAATGCTGTCTGTGTCTTATTTAAACGGTTTGAGTGTTTTCTCGTTTGTACATATTAACATGTAAAGTTGTATTTTTTTAGTGGGGAAAGTCGGAGCGTTTCTCCAACATCCTTTAAAATCACACAAACGTACATTCATACACACACATACACACGCACATGAACCACATCAGGTCTTTTAAAAGCACTCTACTTCACCATAAATAAAACAGTTACAAAAATATACCTCACTTCAAACAGAGCCATAGCAGGAAAAGCGCTAACAGCCACTGTGGAATGATTTGAAAACAGAGATGGAGGTGGAGTCATAGATGCTGGTGTGTCTATTCAAATAAGCTGGGACTCTGATGAATGACAGCAGTTTGTCAGGAATGCTTGAGCTTGAGTCAGCCTGGAGAAACTAAAGCTGATGTAGGTGGTGCACTACAGAGAAGTGGGGGGAGCATAACGCAGTTACTCTTTGTAAAAGCCAGCTTGGAAAGATGCTTGGAGATTAATAAAACTGGCCGTACAGTAAAGGCAGGGCTTAACACCTCCAGTTCCATGTAAGATTAGTAGTGTTTACATTCACAGGTATATCCCTTTGTACTAAGGCTCAGGAGGGTGCAGTGCGTTGTCAGTGTATGTGAGTGTATTCTGCTGCTGCTGCGGCGGCGGTGGCGGAGGCTGTTCCTCCTGAGGAGCAGAAGACTCGAAGCAAAGCTACTTTTTCTTGGAGTTGACACTTTTGCAGACCCAATTCATTCCCTCCTGAAAGCAGATCAGAGTAACATGGTGAGAAGAGAGAGTGACACAAAAACATGCTAGAGTAGAGCGAAAGTAGGGATGGATGTTCTAACCTGGATCCCCTCACCAGTGAGGGCAGAGCAGGATTGGATCTGCCACATTCGATCCCTGATGGTGTGCAGGTTGAGACCCTCTGCGATCTCGGAGGCCGGAGCGGCAGTCAGCAGATCCTGTTTGTTGGCAAAGATGAGAACAGGAACGCCGCTCAACTTCTCCTCATCCAACAGTTCGGCCAGTTCCTGTTACACAACACAAGACCTCCTGATGTCTTTTTTTATGGAATAGCTAAAAATAAGGCATGAATAATTCTAACCAAAATACATCACAATAAGTGAAAGGACATAATTTGCATACCTGGCCCGTCTCCTCGAATCTCTTTCTGTCAGCACTGTCAATGACATAAATCTGGAAAAACAAACTGGTTTTGTAACTCAGTACTGTGAACCAGAACTATTAACAAAGATTTGCTAAGATGCTAAGATTCACTGACCAGCACATCAGTGTTTTCAAAGTAGTTTCTCCAGTAGGGCCTGATCTTCCTTTGACCTCCGATGTCCCACACATTGAGTTTGAAACCCTGAGACTGGACGCTCTTGATGTTGAATCCCTGGTATAAATCAAAATACAATATTTTTGTTCTAAATGTATTTAGGTAACTAGAAAAGCTGCCATTTTAACACTGCCATCCACTGATCTCTCTTTGGATTGTTGTTCTTTGCTCCTCTTTTAGTGTCTCTGGCTTTTCACCTGTGTGGGGGTGATGTGACTGATGTCCTCAGAGGCCAGTTGTTTCAGAAGCGTGGTCTTTCCGCCGTTGTCCAGACCCAGCAACAATATCCTGACCTCCTGGTCCGGGGTGCTCTTCAGCTTGCGCAGAATGGACAGCAATCCCTACAACAAAAAGCTATATTATATTACTGGGAGAGGAGGACGGAATGAAACATGGCTTCAGAAACCCTCCTCCACTGTTCGCTTCTCCTCACCCACAGGCCCTGAAAGTGCTACTGAAATCCCCACTGAGGGTTTGGCTGATGATGGAGAAGTGCGCTCTCCCAGCGGAGCAAAAAGCCGAAGGTAAAAACACCTCTCGGAAAGCAGACTGACGACGACTATATTGTTTCCCTGCGATTTTATGTCCACTGCAGTGACAATAAGTTTAAAAATGTCACATAACCAGAAGCTAATTAGAGCTAAGGCTAGCTAAGCTAATCTCCCCTAATAAATAAACGGAGCAACAAGGCAGATTTAGCAACTGAACGCTTTTTAGTCGAACGGTGGATGAAAATCATCATTGTTTTATACATTTGCGGAGTGGAACCACTTGCAATGCAAAACATGACGTGTATAAATGATGGAGTTTGCCGTTAAGACGAAATTCATAGGATAAATTGTACTCACCATCTTGTTACCTTCTCTCTTGGAGACGCCGCCGAGGGTTACTAAGGGGGCCGACGTCAGACGCACGCTTACGTAGTTAAGACACCCCTGTGCTTCGTTCATGAATTGTCGGAGATACTGGGATCCTTAAATAGCCACCTACATATGATTTAATATCTGATATGTTTTGATTATTTTAAGTGTAAAAGCTAGAGCGTGACCTATCACAAAGCTCAGCACAGTACATTACAAAAGTAAGTGTAGAAAAATTGATATGAAATACGATCAGGTAAAATATTTAATTTTCTATTTCTCAATTTCGTTGCACACCCGTGTTACAATGATACTAAAGACTATTCAATTCTATAATATTGCAATGGTAGGTCTCAGAAAGAAATAATTAGTACTTAAAAGCTCAACATTGTGGTATATGAATCATAATGATGAACAATAAATCACTCAATATAATACAGTGTCACAATAATGGGTTCAATGTCTAAAATAAAACAAAAAGCGAACCTTGATGCAGTCTGGTCTTTTTGTACCAAACGTAGCAAATTTGTGCACGCGATATTTTAGGTTTACAATTTCTTAGACCTGTACGTGAAGCACACGTGTACAGTTAGCTGCTTTTAAAATATTTTCAAAAAGTAGGTCAGCTGGGCAGCCACGGTCACGTGTGTGGGTGAGTTACTGTGCGATACATGTTCAATTAAATGTGGGTGAGTTACTGTGCGATACATGTCCCTTTACTCAATTAAAAAATATATACCTATCACTGGAAACTAGACATCTTCTAGCTTACACGTGAATTCATAAATCCGTATGAGAACGTGAATAACACAGGAACCTAACACGGGGTGGAGTGAAGTTGAGTGTAGCACCCGCGTCTGTGATTGGTCCACACCGCGCCACGTGCACATTTCTTTACTACAGACACAGAGTCAAAGTGTTCGAGCACGTTAGCTCTAAGCTGACAACAGCTGTGTCCCTGTCTCTCTGTGTTTGTGTGCTGCAGAGAGAGTCGCTCAGGTAAGACTCGCGTGTTTTTGTACTTTGTCCGACAGTTTGGTCTCCTTGTCTGCTCTTGCTTTGCTGCTTCTGCTTCAGTGGCCTCGTCAACTCCAGTGGTGTGTTGCGTCACTCTGCATGCTGTCCCTCAGATTCCTTCATATCAAACGCACACTATTTCACGCTCTTGCTCTATATATGTGATCTGTCATCCAATGTTATTTACCCTGCTCGTATTTACCCCTCCAACCTACAACTGTGGCGCTCACACCGTGGCTGTTTGTTCACATGCAGCCAGATGTTACCTGAGCTCTGGCCTGCAGATCCAGTCTGTCCACCTCTTTTCAGCTCTTTCAGCTGCAAAGAACTACTTTTGGGAGCTTTCAGTTCACCTGCATGAACCTGTTATTGAACCCTTTTCTGTTATCTTTGCCAAATATTTAAAGCTCCTTCCCGTTGATCCTGTTCTTTATATCAGTCGAGAACTTTTCTACTGTCTTCTTTAGTCATGGCAGTACACTCTCACATTTATTATATCTATCTATTTATTTAACTGAATATGTACTTATCGAGTAGTTGCTCTCTAATTTGCATTTGTACTGCTTCTGCTGTTGGTTTTTTGTTGTTGTTTTTTACTCACAATAACATGACAATACTTCCAATAATAATGTATATGGAAGCCTAATTAATTATGTGTTGAATCATTAGATCAGAACAGAAAATCTTTCTGACCTTACAGTGTGTACTGTATACAAACAACAAAGTGACAAACTTGTTTTAAAAACTAATATTTTAATGTGATTTAAAAACAAGACTGAGACTGATGTTTTTATTATGTGTTGTATTGGTAAAGTTTTCCTTTGTCTTAACTATGTGCTGAACACACTCAATCTGCTCACTTTTATACTTCTGGATGGACTCCAAACTTGCTGCTCAAATATTCCTGTGCATGTAATGTTGTTTTTTGCACAAATGAATAATGTGGTGCCATTCCATTATTGTTTATAAGCTAAACAAACATTTTCAACATTTAATACATCAGCGTTTTCTAACCTTTATCCAGTGGCGTCTGTGATGTTGTCACTCCGTGTTAAAACTCCACTTTGATGATTGGTTCGTGCTCCGTGGTCTTTTAACCTACTTACTAATCACAACCTACAGAAGCGGTCCAGCTGTAACCAGGCTGAACCAACTCTGAGCGGTCATCCTCACCCCGTCTGGCCTCACGTGTCTTGTACTCACAGATGATGAGACCACGCAGGGCAGAGTTCTGTCGCTGTGGGGTTTGTTTTCACACATTTCCTCCAGCAGATAATAATCAGTAAAGGAACGCTGGAGACGTTGGAGCTGAAGTCAGCACACTTCACAACAATTTGAAGCTAAATGCTGCAGCTGCAAAAACAAAAAACGATAACCTGTGGAACCATTGGCCAGGAGGTGGTCAATGATTTCTAGTGGAATATTTTGGCAGTGATCTCTCTCTCACCTCGTGGAAGTAGGGTTAAGGTTTGTCCAGGGATATATTTGGGTTCAGCTCAAGGGCACTGCAGTTTACCATATCACCACAGACCAAACATTAATAGATAATTTACAGAAGAGCAGCACTCACAGGCACCATAAACCTTTTTAATCAAAGGAGCGGTCAAATGTATGAAAAACACTTTTCTGTGGTTTGACTAAAGTTCTTCAGATTCCCAAGTTAATAGATGAAGGGGTCTGAGCAGGTGTGTGTTTTTACATCATTTATAAACCATCAGTATCATTCATTCATTAACTCTAAATCAGACACTTGAGGATTCACCCACAACTTTCCAGAAAATTCTCCCTGATCTTTGCATTTTCTCCTTTCTTTACATGAAGTAACATATCTGTTATTTCTGCAGGTCTTCACTCCATCCACAATGGCTTTGAAGTCGTTTGACATTGACGCACCAAGATGGGATCAGACGACTTTTATGGGTCGACTGAAACACTTCTTCAACATCACCGACTGGCGAACAGCACTTTTACCCGACTCACGATTGGACGAGGCCAAAGCTTTGGTTGAGAGCTGTAGGTAAGTGTCACTCTGCCTACTTTTGTTCAGGACGTGACATTTCATTGCATGCATTAATACAAAAAGGAGCAGTTGGTGTCAATCCTGGGCTCTCTAATCTCTTAAAACGAATGATTGAAGTTACTAATTTTGTGGACGCAGCCAAGCAGGTTGGTGTGATGTAAAGAATGTTTACAGACCAAACAGGTTTTCTGAAAGTCTAAAAACTTTTTCAACACAGGTAGCATAGTTACAACGAGTGGTTTATAAAAGTCAGAAAGGGGTGAAGATTTCCATGATCACACATCAGTTTTATGTAAAACCAATTTTCAGCCCCAGTGTTGTGTGTTTAGATTTTTTTACTAAATGCTGTGCGAGTTTCAACAGACACGAGCCAAAAAACAAAATCTTCTTAAGAAGAGTCATCTTAGGAATTTTTGTGCAGTTCGTTTTTTTTTTTGTTTTTTTTGAGTGATTGAAGTAGTTAACTGCAGTCTTAGCTCAGTGTGTCAGTTCTATGTGGATTTCTGTTGGCCTCCAGGGCAGGCTCCATCCCACCTGGCACCACAGAAGAGCAACTGCACTATGCTAAGAAGCTGTACGACTCGGCCTTTCACCCAGACACAGGAGACCGCATGAACCTCATTGGCCGCATGTCCTTCCAGGTGCCTGGGGGTATGGCCATCACTGGTGCTATGCTGCAGTTCTACAGGCAAGAAACAGGAAGTGCTTCATTTTACTACAGGCCTAAAAGTCAGAGAGGAGTCATTAAAGTTTCTATGTCCGTGTGTTTTTAGGACGGTTCCTGCCGTGGTCTTCTGGCAGTGGGTGAATCAGTCCTTCAACGCTCTGGTCAACTACACAAACCGTAACGCTGCCTCCCCGATCACTCCCAAGTAAGGTTTAGTAAAAGGTTACCAACCTTTAGGTCGATGTTCACATTCAGTCAGACACTTTCCTTCACACAGCCAATATTTACTAACACCACACAAAAACCATAGCTGACCTCGTTAGTAGGTGTTACTTCAAGTTCTGTTGTGTGTGTCACTGTCGTCTTTCAGGCAGATTGGAATCGCTTACTTCACAGCTACTAGCACAGCGTTGGCCACAGCAGTGGGACTCAACCTTTACACAAAGGTACCAGTGTCTGCTTGACCACTGCTCCACAAAGTTGACTGGAAGTTCGTTTGTTTTTAATATTACTGATATTAAAAACAAACACGAACTTCCACTGTTTGTATTTGTTTTACACATATCTGGATAATGTCAAACCAGGTCATCGTGGAGTCGTGTTGTGTTTTTAACATCCAGGTGGCTACAGTTTAGTATAGTATAGTATAGAGAAAATCAACTAATGCTGTAACGTTGACCTGTATTTAAGCAAGCCAAGAAACATTGATATGACTAGTTAGATTATTACAATAATTATTGACATCCAAATGTGGGAAAAGTGAGCGATGTAAGATCTGCGTTTGTGTTCAACACCTGTTTTTTTTCCTGTAGAAAGCTCCGCCTCTTGTAGCTCGCTGGGTTCCGTTCGCTGCGGTGGCAGCAGCCAACTGTGTTAATATTCCTATGATGAGACAACAGTGAGTCCTGCCCTGCTCCTCTATCAGCCACTTGGTTGTAGCGATTCATGTTTTAAACAGACAAGAAAATAATGAATTTGGTCTAGTCTCTGCTAGTTCAAAGTCCGGAGTTCACACTAGTACTACGTCACTGGTCTAAAAAGAACAGCAGCAGAGAACAGCAGAGCTGGACAATGAGTCCAATGACTGACGTTGTGCCCAGATATTCCTGTTCCTCTCTGACTCAATTCACCAGAATTGTGTGACCTTTAACGCCATCATCTGGTCATAAACTTAAAATTCAAAAGGCATAGCAAAAAAGAAAGTGATGGAATCAATGCAGTGATTGATCAGAGCATTAACAAATAATTGTTTGTTATATTTTTATTACTCTTGTATTAACAGGTCTTTTAATTAATTTGATTTAAAATGTCTAGTTTTTAAGTGTCTTTGCTTCTTTTTTTGTAAAATGTTTTGTGGGTTTTTTTTTCCATCAGGGAAATATTGAATGGAATTGCAGTCACTGATGAGAACGGGAACAAACTGGGTCACTCTACGGTCAGTGCATGATCATTGTTTTTTTCTTTTTGAATTATTCCTGACTTTCCTGACATTGAATCCTGACTTTTCACAATTCTCCTTTTTGTGCCTTTTTCATCCTGGCTGTAGAAAGCAGCAGTAAAAGGCATCACACAGGTGGTGATTTCTCGAATCACAATGGCAGCGCCAGGAATGAGTAGGTTGAATACAGTACTTCTGATGTGTTAACTGTGATGTCATCAAGTCATGGTCCTGTCTTTTCTGTATGCAGTTATTCTGCCCATCATCATGCAGAGGCTGGAGAAGTACCACTTCATGCAGGTTGGATTTTCTGTCTTTGTTTTTCCTCCTCTCACACTGAGTGTTTATGTCTGTTATCAAGGTTTTTTTTTTTGGTTTTTTTGTCTTCCAGAGAATCACCTATCTGCACGGGCCCATTCAAGTGATGCTGGTGGGCGGGTTGTAAGTAGCAAAGGGTCACAGGAAGTTGAATGACTTTGATTTGTGTTATTGTAGATAAAATGTAACTGTTGTTCTTTTGTTGTTTTAAAGTTTAATCTTCATGGTCCCTGCTGCCTGCTCCATGTTTCCTCAGAGATGGTAATGAACTTATCTTTTCTGTTTCTTTTTTTTTTACCTTTTTTTTTTACACTTTAAGACCTAATGTTACATTTAAAGAGTTTGTGAAACTGTTTTAAAAAAGAAAAAAGAAAAGCTCAGAAACCTTCTTAAACATGTGGTCTCCTGACATAGAAGATCCTGAAAAGTTCTCAGAAGTTCTAACCTGGGAATATGGTGAATGCAACCTTTTTGAATCCCACTGGAGTTTTATTAAAAATGACATCTTGTTCACCCTCCAGCTGGAGTCATGAGGCCCAAACCAAACCACAGTTGTACCTTCTGTGACCCCATACTGCACCTATTGAAAGTGTATTTATTTTTTACGCAAATAAAATGATATGAATGTACTGTTCTGAGCATGCAGAAAGGAAATAGAGATGGAGTAAAGGTCAGTCCATGTAGAACTGACTACTGTAGCTTATTGAATCTATTCTCAGAAATCAATGTCTGTGTGTGTGTGTGTCAACAGCAGGGTTGTGAGGTGAGAACACAGTAAAACAGCAGTGCTCATTTAGACGTTGTATTAAAAACCAATGGACCACAGTGTGATGTGACCAAACCATTTTGATAGGTGTGCTGGCGTTAAACACAAACTGAGATCAGTTTTATTGTCGCTGGGAGAAAAAAAAAATCCTTTGGAACATCTGTGCACTTGGGTCTGGGAGGTCGTGACTGCCTGGGTCGTATTTCATCATCTCACAGTCACTGTTGACTGAAACGACTCCCCCACACCGAGGCAGGGTTTGGTTTCTTGTCGAACACAGATGATTTCTCAGTGAATGCAGTCCCTGTGGGGAGAGAGATGATACATGTTAAACCCTGGGCTTGGTGATTTCACTGGGAAAATTAAAAACACAAAGAAGACCCTGAAAGAGGATCCGAAAGGGAGTCCGAGTTGAACATAAATGTATTTAACATGTGTATATATATATGTATATATATATATATATACTGTATATTTCTTTGTTTTGCTCTTTGTGTTGTTTATCAGAGACTTTGTGAAACTTATACCTCTGCTCCTCCTCAACTTTGTTTTCTCTCCTGCAGCTCCATGGCTGTGTCAAAGTTGGAGCCAGAGTTGAGAGACTCCATCAAGTCACGTTATGGAGACAGTGTTCAACAGGTCTACTTCAACAAAGGCCTCTGAGTGCTACAGCTGCTGGTGCATCATATGACAAACCTTACAAATGCTGTATGTTTATGACGTCCAATGTCACTAATTGTTGTTCAATGTCACATTGGTGTTTCAATTCCACATCAGTTCGGTGCTTACATTTGGGAGGATTTGGTCAACGTGGTTTCTGTGTTTCTGATCCTGTCGTTTATATCCAAAATCACTTTATTATTGTCTTAAAACCAAATATCCTCTTCTCAGGACTGCATTTTGTCATGTCACACTCTGACCTATCTATCTACAGTATTTATCTAGCTATATACTGTATATATATATATATATATATATATATACAGTATATATAGTTTTATATATATATACACAGTATATATATATAGTTGAAGTCATGGTGTGATTGACCTGTAGCTCTTTGTTTTAGTTTCTGACTTGAGGGAAAAACTTTCTTACAGTCGGTGCCTTTCACACAGTGACGCTGCTCAAACGTTTTTAAAAGTACTGGTTTAACACGGGAACCACAAACTTAGTTCTATGCATATGTAACGTCTGAAGATGATCATGATTGAAGGTAGAGCATACTGCCCTCTGCTGACAGTGCACGGACAGTCCACTGTGAAAAAAAACTGAATTCATTGTAATAAATCCAATCAAACGTTTGGAATAAATCTTCCTATTGTTTGTTTGTATCAAACGAACAGTACAGGTGTGAATATTCCTGGAGCTTTTAGAAGAAGGGCAATGAAAGTCGGGAAGATAAAGAACAGAGCCCTCACTGTGAAGACTCTAAATGTGATTCAAAGATGGAGTCAGGAGTTGAGAAGCATAGAAAAGTCGGGGTTTTAACCTCCGAGCAAAAACATACAATCAATGTATCCAAAGATGACAGAAACCAAAAAAAAAGGGTCGGGTTTGTCCAAACAGTATTTGAAATGTGACACTGATTTAGTAGGAAATGAAGTTGTTCATTTTTTCAGTACATTTGTGTTGAAAAAGAACATTTGTTTTTGTCCAGTGCTTCTCGGGTTACTGCTCTGACCGTGAGTTCCAGACTTGATCAGTGAAGAACATGAACCCAACTGTTGTTAACGGCTTTGGAACAGTTCTTGTTCGTTATTTGGCAAAGAAAATGTTAGTTCGCTGGTTGGTTCCTCTGCATTTTCGGGCTGCAGACCAGAGAAACGGCGCCCTCTGCTGGTACAGTGGGAAGGAGGAGGAGGAGCCGTTACGAGCTGCTTTATAAAACCGCCTCGACCTCAGGGAGGAAAACACTCCTGGAAAGACAGACTTCAGCTGACACTGACAAGAATTCGTCCGAAACCCGCAGAGCTCGTCCTCCTGACCTCACCTCCGCCCCGGAGCTGCACACACCTACAGCCTGCTGCATTAGACGCTGTGCAGAAACAAAGAATTAACTAGTCAAAGGAGACGCTGTTGCTGCTGCCGCCGCCGCTGCTGCTGCTGCTGTTGGACCCAGACTGCTACGTAGAGGACCTACGCAGCAAACACACGAGCACGCAGGAGCTGAAGAAATCCACGATCGGGCCAGTGCTGTTGACCAAAATGCCGTTTTCCGTGAGCGGCATCCTGTGCACGCTGGCACTGCTGCTGCTGTGGAGGGCGGAGGAGGTGGCCGAGGCTTGCAGCTGCGCCCCGGTACATCCGCAACAGGCGTTCTGCAACGCCGATATAGGTGAGTGGAGCTCGGATGATGACTGTTGCGGTTACAGCTGATGATGATGATGATGATGATGTTGTTGTTGTTGTTGTTTGTCTGGCCCATGTTGCCGCTGCACCACATAATCTGATGAATGATGATGATGATGATGGTTGTGGTTTTGGAACCAGTGGAGAGCCTGTCGCTGGAGACTGTTGCTCCAAAGGCCCACGGCTTTGGCTGATGAATCAGTACTGCTTCCGTTCTGTTGTGTTGACAAAGTGAGCGTACATTTGAATAAACTGCAGCAGCAGTCACATGATCCTTTGACGGTTTATAATCTCAGAACTAAGGTGTTGGTGTTCAATCTTTTGCCACCGTTTGGTGATCGATTCGATTATAATAGGTTTATTCACAGACAGAAATTGAAGAAATACAGACTGTAACATTAAATAGGATAATGTCTCAACATATTTCTCTGTGTGAGCCGTTAGAATCTACAATAATGAAACTGTACCAGAGCACACTGGTTCTCAAACTGTGGTTAATGTAGAGCTGCTGGTACTTGGACTCCCTCTAGTGGTACGCGAAATAATCCGTTTTTAAAACGTCTTTGACAAAACAGTCTCAATAGAAAATGAATAGGTCAATAATAATGGATATACATTCCCTTCTTTCCCTGTTTCTGTGTGTTAGCTCAGTGTGTTATTAAAATACACTTCTCCCCTGTGGTCATGAATGACATGGAGGCTGCAGAACTTAGTGACACTGCACTGAAAACACCAATGGATTGATACTGAAATCGTCATTTTTAGGTTTGGGAATTTGTGACAATTCTTTGTGTTAGATTGGTCCAAATGACTGAGTCATGGGTGGAAAAGTGCATTCATTCACAGTTCCTCAGCTCGTTGGTAGAGTGTGTCTGTGTGTTTACCAGGCTTCACCCTCTGCAGCTCCAGGACCAAGCTGCAGCGTCTCCTGGCTTTTGCAGGGCAACGTGGCACAAGACAGGAAGGAGAGACAAGGGGGGAAAGAGCCGAGGGGAGGACAAGGGATGGAGAGAAGTTTTTTTAGGAGAGGAGGGGGAGTTGAATCTCAACCGCAGAATATGTTACACTGAACTCTTTCCTTCTCCCTCACTTTTTATTTATTTATTTATTTTTTCTTTTTTTTTTAATTAATTTCCATTCCTTCCTGGTTTGTCCCTGTGAGGGGTGGTGCTGGGAGGAATTACAGGAATGCTGCTGGGATTTTCCCCAACTTTGCTCCGGTGCAACACAGGGACACACACACATACACATATTCATAGTCCACATAGACAAATGTGCACAGCCCACTGTCAGGCCTGGTGCACACTCACACACACACACACACACACACATAGTGACATCTGGCTGTCAGTTCAGGGCGTGTTTCAGGGGGAAAACCAATAAAAGTAACGGTCAAAGTCAAAGAATGCCTGGTATCCCTGAGAAAGAGAGAGACCTGACCACTCTGCCTCTGCTCCTTCGTCTTCATGGCCAGAGTGTGTTTGTCCATATCAGCGGTCAGTGTTCCTCTGTGTCATGTCACATTGCAGAATCGACCACTTTGTTTTCAGGTGTGACTCAACTCGCGGTCGAGGTGGCAGCTCTCAGAGACAGGATGTCTCACAGCGGAGGTGTTTCTTGGCTTCCTTCTCTGTCCGTGTTGTTTTTAAAGGCCGCGTGAGTCAATAAGGCTTTTGTCAGCAGCTCCTGCGGAGGGGGGAGGAAGGGGGAGGAGGATGCACATCAAAGGCCGCAAAGACCAATTAAAGGGATCAGTGCCTGATGGTATTGTCCGGTGATAATTTCAGGGCGTACCTCAGGATCTAAGAGCTGTGGCCTGGGTTGGATGTGAAAACCCCCCAGCTCAGCCACAGAGGAGGGAGAGGTGAGGGCAGGGCTGTGGAGAGGAGGCGCAGACATCAAACAGTGCTTGGAGGCTTGAAGGAGCGAGGAGTCAGAATAGAGTCGCTTGTCTGGTTGCCCAGAATGTACGTGTGGGCAACAACAAAGTGATCCTGTGAGCAGTTCAAGTGGTCAGCTGTTTGGTTTGGTGAAATAGGAGCCCACTCTTTGTCCACACATACTGACAGTGTGTGTGTGTAAGCTGGTGTTTTTCGTCCTATTTGATGCTCTAGGTCAAACCACGGGCCATAACCAGTGAGTGTCATGCACCCACCTCAACACACATACCCACACATGCACATGTAGGACAAACATCCCCTTCTCATATAAATCCGTTGCCCACATAGGGGAACTTCCCCGCAGCCCTGCCCAGTCAGTCTGTCCTGAGGCCGAGCGGTGAGAAGGTCCAGCGTCACCGTGCCGCCGGCAGGAAAACACAACAACACGCAACAACACATGACTCAATGTACCCGTATAGATGGAAATAAAATACACAGTTAAACAGATCTATATGGTTTATATCCTCCACCCCAAACCTTTAATTCAGCAGTTGGTAATAAATCAGACTGTTTTTCAGTGTGTTTGAAAGCAGCCTGATGATTAATACTCTACCTTTTTATACACACTTCACTCTGATATCAGTGTTTAAGAATAGAAACAGCTGCATGCTGTTTTCACAGACGCCGTGCTTTCAAAGCTACTGGATGGATGACTGTTTTTTTTCCATCCTGTAGCTGACGTTCACATTTTTTCACTATATATATATATATATATATCAAATCAGGTCAAGCAGAAATATTTCAAGTCTACATTCACACTTCATTTTTCAATTGGCTGTCGTCAGCATCAAAAACAGCAACCGATTGAATCTGGCTCTGTGTCTCGTTTTAAGAATGGTCTCAGTTTGTATTTTACGGAGGTTATGCACATCAGTGTTTTGGATGTTCCTTTTTACTTTTATACTTGTTGAATTTCAGACGTGTTACAAGCCAGAGGCAGGACAACACAGGTCATGTGATGCTTAAGACTTAGTATAAGCCGTAGTTAAATGGTAGCGAATTAAACTATTAGTCAAAAGGCAACTAAATGTTAGCTCAGAAACTAGCCCAGCTAACTCTAACCCGAAGGTCTGTTTGTGGTCAAAACTTCAAAATCTTCATCCAAAATGTATTGTATGTATTGGTAAAACTCAACCTGATCTGCGGCCATGTTGTTAAGGTCTTCATCTTGAAGTCCTGAGTCGTGTTTGAAGGAGATTCGCCTGTGCTCAAATGACAGGTTCAGTGGAAGGCCCACATGTGTCTGCTGCTGACAAAACCACAGCAGGAAGGTCGGGGATTTGGACGGTCATTAGACCAGGGGGAAAAAGGGAAAAGAAACGGATAGTGATGCAGTGGATGGCCCTTAGTGGGGGTGGGAGGTATGTAGGATGTGGTGTGTGCATGTGTGTGTGTTCATATGGGGTTTTCATGGAAAACATTGCGTAGTGCAGCTGATCCGTATGTAGAAGTCATCAGGCCTGCAGGAGTAATGTGGGTCACTTAGTGGTGGTTTATCAGGTTCCAGGTTTCTGATTGTCTGCTGGTGATGAGTCGACTTCGGGATGACTCTGCGGCCTTGTGCTGGCTGACAGTAGCTGTGCTATTTTGGTATCATGTTGTGGGCAGACTGCTGCCTCCACAACAGGCTGTTTAGACTGCTCCGGATCATTCACTCAGGCCTTACTGCAGAGAAGTCAACAGTGACCACCAGAACCACAGATTAGCTGAGGGTCGGGGCAAAATGCCCTTGAAACATCTTCATTTTTCCTTGGGATTATAATGGAGGTGTTTTAGTTTTCATTGAAATCAGAAATGCATAAATGTAGCTATCACTAAGCTTTGAAACAACGATCGTAAGCTAGAATATAGAGCTTCAGAGAATAGACCCGGTCCTAGAGAAAAACCATCTGGCTGAAGTCAGCCCAAACCTTCCTAAGAACTACTACAGAAGTATTTGATAAAGTTAGCTTAGATCATGGGTAAGAAAACAACAACTACATCCTTTACTTATCTATGGTTCACTTCTTCATTGACTACTACTTATTAATACTGGTCGCAGAACTTGTTCATATTGTGTGTTATCTAGCTAACGCTAAATTTAGCAAAAAAAGAAAAACCGAAGAGTTAGCCACAGCGATAGCTGCAATACAGCCCATAGGGAAACCAACTGGACGAGGTTACTAAAAAGGTAACCAGGAAGTTATCCATGCGTTATCAACAACTTTGGATGAAGTCGCCCCAGAACGTATGACGGTATGATGGTCAGGAGATCACGGTGCGGGGAATAAGGATCGTTTCTCCTCAGCGTCGTATCCTGCTGCTGATTCTTCCCTCATTAGTTTGCGGCTCAGAATGACGCCAGGAAATGAGAGTGGAAAAACTGAAAGGAATGCTGGAGACAGTGCCAGCCAGGTATACTGCTGCATGTGTGTACAAGTGTGTGTTTGTGTGTGTACCCTGGCTGCTGCTGCTACTGCTGCATATTTGCTTTAGCATCAGAGTGGAACCTAAAAGGCAGAGGTTTTCTTGTAAAGAACCAACATGGGTCTGTGTGAAGCAGAGATGGATTACTTTATAAACCCTTCATCAGTGGGGATCACTGGGAACACTGTCCTTCTCTGACTTTAATGAAATACTTTTGACTTTACTGTGTCTCAGGGTCCACACATTCCTTCATCACATCTCTGACATTAGAACCCAAACCAAACCTGGACATATTCACTTGAGGTATTCTCTGAGGTGTGGACATGAAAGTTAATCAGTTTGTTTTGAAGGGACTTTAAAAAGTACCTGATGTTGGTGTTGGAGAACAGAAGCAGCTGGATGGTGTTATCTCAGCAGGCCTGAAGTTAAAGCTGCTGCATCCACACTTCTGCTGCTGCTGCTGCTGCTGCTGCTGCTGCTGTGGAACAGTATCTGTCAGCATTATATCAGCTGTTTCTTTACAGAAAAAGCTTGGTTGTTTTGATGCTGCTTTGGTTTTAATCAAATATGTTGACACCATACATTATCTATGGGTTGTTTTTTTTAATCAAGGTCATGCATGAATCTGTTCTGGTGTAAACCTGTTTGACTCTTGATGGCTCCAGGTTTTGTTTGAACGTTTTCTCACATTAACAGGTTCAGGATCTGGAATTTTGTTAGTCTTTTGTTAGTATTTTTCTTATTTTATTTCAAGTCCATTTTGTTTCCTGTTGGTTGTAAATATGTTCTTTATTTATTTTCTGCTTGGTTACTTGTGTGTCTGTAAACTTGATTCAGTAATTGAGGAGGTTAGGGTTTGTGAAGAGGTGGTGTAGATCTGGGTCTCCACTCAGTCAGAGGGAGAACACCCGTTCACGCCACAAATTTAGAAACATAGTAATAAAAATCTTAGCTGGGTTTTTTTCTTCATTATTAGTATAAATGTGTCACTTAAGTTTTATTAAATGATTAGTTTAAATAAAACTCCACGGTGTAGCAGTCACAGCAGTCGTAGAAACTTAAGGGAAAGAATGTTAAAGGTAAGAACAGACGATAATAACCCTCTAAGCCATGGACCTCCATATTTGTGTCTGCTCCAAGCCATAAACTGAGCCCAGGGGTGTAAGAGCAACAGCAGCAGACCCTGTGTGTGTGTGTGTGTGTGCGTGAGTGAGTGTGTGTGGGAGAGAGAGTGTGTCCTCTGTTCTGGCTTATTTTATGTTTTTTTTCAGCTTTCTCTTGCTCATATTTTCCATTCTGAATAAATGACATAAGCATAGCTGAAACTTGATGTAGTCACTCAGGCTGTTTACACACACACACACACACACACACACACACACACACACAGGAGGAAACTTCATCTTCTGTTCCCTCTCTGAACTGTCACTACCGTCAGTTGTGGGCTGTATTCTGAAACTTTTGTTGAAGCCAACGTTGTGAAGGAGCGGAGAGTGAATTTGGTGTCAGTGCTGTTGACATTTTATTTTTGGGGATTTTACAACATCACAATAGGCCAGTGGCCTTGACACCGATTCTGTGTGTTTCATAAGATTAGTCTGTGAGTTGTTTCTCTGTCAGTCACTTATTATTTTCATCTGTCATCAGCACAAAGTTCTTTGGTATTTTATTTGAACTAATGGAGTATTCTGCGAGTATTGTGTGTGGAATAGAAAATTAGTATAAAAGACAAAACAAAAGACAAAAATCCTGGTTTCATTTTTAGAGGAGAATGTAGCTTTTCCCTTGCTGGTTGCAAATCTAAAGCAAAGCCTTGTGAGAAAGTCCACTTTTTTATTTGAGTTACACATTTTGACTTATGTGTGGCCAGCATTTGTTATTTAGTCTTTTTATTTATAACAGTATTTTTTGTTTCGATTGGATGGCTGGACAGAAAAACAAGTGTCTTTTAATGAAATCTGCAGAGCAGATGTGACACCGTGTCCTTCCATTTCTCTGACAGTGATTCGAGCAAAGGTAGTGGGTGAGAGAGAGGTGGATTCTGGGAATGACATCTACGGAAACCCCATCAAGAGGATCCAGTACGAGGTCAAACAGATCAAGGTGAGTGGACTACTGTGTCGTGGGCTTATCCTCAGACCTGGACGACTTCACAGCTCAACCCTGAATGGTTCTATTCCAGATGTTCAAGGGTCCAAACCAGGACATCGAAACTATCTTCACTGCTCCTGTGTCAGCTGTCTGTGGAGTTACCCTGGATGCCACTGGCAAGAAGGAGTATCTGATCTCAGGTTTGTCCTTTTAAAGTGGTTGAACAGTATAATATGCATATGTTCATTGATTAGAAAGGAAATACAGATGATTGTGCTGATAAAACCCCAGCAGACTGACCTGCAGACTGACCTGCAGACTGACCTGCAGACTGACCTGCAGACTGACCTGCAGACAGACCTGCAGACTGATGAGAAGCCACACAGACAGATAATCAGATTTTGGCCCACGGCTGTAAACTAACATGCAGACAAATATGAGGTTAGATAAAGACTCCAGGATGTTACTGTTTATGTTATTATGGGTAATGACACTTTGCTGACTAAACTGTGGAGACTGGGAGTGACCTCGTCTGAAGGTGGAAATCTACTGGACGGCTTCTTCTGCTGCTCAAGGTAAAAGGAAACTACGTGATGTGATGGGGAAATGCAATACACAGGAGGCAGTTCACCCATGGCTGGATCTCTGCTGACTGTGCTCCATGTTGTCATGCACTTTTACTGTTGAATCTGAGTGAAATCCGCAAATCTTTAATATTGAGACCTGTTGTAAAGGGGGCGGGGCTTACTGTCAGAAACATGAAGAGTTGTGTCTCAGGGTTCCTCTGGTTTTCACAGCACTGTGAGTGAAGACAGTGAAGTTGAGTAAAGAAGTATGACTGTATCTACCTTCTCTGGAGTACGCGCACTAAGTGTAGCTGTCGTGAATTTACAGTGAGACACAGAGGATCATGATGTCATGAGTACTCTGGTTTCCCCATCGCAGACAGAGATTCACCCACAAACTCTCAGCCCTAATTACATAGAGTTGTACGGACGAGGAACTGCTGAAGGCAGCATTTCCTTTCCTCTCCCTGACTTTGTTTTTCTTTCTCCCTCTCTTTCTCTTGAGAAGTGGGACTGTAGCGGGGGGAAAGAAAGTTAACGTTCTGCTGACTTAGGCATCGGTTTTACAATGATTCACCCTTACAGTTGGCTCAGCTACAGTCTGCTGTGAGTCAGTCCTGTGCCGTGTGCGAGGACCAACTGTAAAAAAACCTCAACAAGTCCAGAGTTGCACCGCCGACAGATTGTGCCGTAGAGACGAGGACACGGCTTCGGCGGAACTGAGAACTCCACGTGAAATATGTTGTTATGACTGATGCGCCTCCAGCGTGTGGAAAAGTACGTGCCAGATGGTTTGTGTTGATGCCTGTGGCTCTGAGATGTCACTGATAGTACGAGCTGTGCCGGTGAATCTGATTCTTGGTGAACCTTGTCCCACTGGAACGCTCACATCAATATTATATATATATATATATAGATAAACAAAATTTGAAACCAAGGTCAGTAAAAACTCAAGCCCACTGTGGAACCTTGAGGAGATCATTAGAGAAGCTCTGTAGTGGTTCAGGGCTGCATGTCAACCATTCTCATTAGCGCTTGATCATAATCAAAAATCAAAATATCGGAGCGTCCAGTCTATTCACTGTGTCGCTGTCATTGCGGTGTTGTGTCTTTGCAGGCAAGGCGGAAGCCGACGGTAGCATGCATGTGACCCTCTGTGATTACATCATGCCCTGGGACTCCTTGAGTGCCACCCAGAAGAAGAGCCTGAGCCAGCGCTACCAGATGGGCTGTGACTGTAAGGTAAGACAGTAGAAGGGCGGTCCACGGCCGTGGTTTGTCTCCCAGTGTCAAATCAAAGAGGCTGCAGTTATTTCCCTCCTCAAATCCAGACATAACAGAAGAAAAAAACCAGACGAGACACGAGCCAGAACAACAGGCAGGACAACAAACAACCTTCTTTCGTCTTCATACCAGGGCGTTTTTGTCCAGACAATGTTCCAGGTTCACTTCATGGGTCAATGTTCTAACTTTGAGGATTTTTTTATGTGTTTATTTTGGATTTTTCTGCTAGCCTCGTCACTCTTTGTGAATAATTTGCGCCAAATTTGTTTTTGGCGCACTATACCACAATTTGAGTTCACTCTTTGTGAACTAATTCTGACTAATTTTCAAGTAAATGTTACATTGTTCCATCTGTGCTCGAGTCCTTGGACGACCTTTACAGGTAGCAGGGTTTTTAAAGGTGTGTAACAAGGACTCATTTCGGCTATTCCCATTGTGTTGTTTGATATTCCACTTATATTTATATAAATTAGACATTTTACGTAATGTATTTGTTTTTGGCGCACTATACCACAATATATTTATATAAATTAGACATTTTACATAATGTTCTTCATCTCAGCTAAGGTGTTTTGATGTAATCACAACAGGATGTTTGTGTTTTATTACAATAACTGCTAATGCTAATCTCATTCCTGGCTCCAAACATCACTGAAAATATTGCAAAGTTATAATAGAGAAATAATCTGGAGTTAAATCCACTGACTGATTTGTTGGTTTTGTGTGTGTTTCTGCAGATCGTGCGCTGTCCCTCTCTGCCCTGTGAGATCTCTGCTCCAGAGGAGTGCCTTTGGACGGACCTGATGATCGAGAAGCAGGTGCACGGACGCCAGGCCAACCACTACGCCTGTGTGAAAAGGGCGGACGGCTCCTGCTCCTGGTACCGTGGCGTTGCACCACCCAAGAAGGAGTTCTTGGACATGGAGGACCCTTAGTCCCGCTGCAGCGCCTGAGTGCTTATGGCACAGCTTGACAAAAATAAATGTAAACCATTCCATTGAAATGAAACATAAGACCATCAGGCAAACGTGTTTTTGAATATTAAAGTAAATGTGACTGAAGTGACGTGCTGCTCTGAGAACAATCTTTGGCCTCTCTCTGACTCTGTTGTCTTGAGGTTCAGAGGTTGTTCTCAGACTCAGCGTCTCTGTAAGAACAAATAACGTAGCATCATAAGACATAGACTGGTCGAGTGATGATGTAACTTCCTCCTGAGGCTGGCGTCAGGAGGATTTAAAATTCTTGTTGAGACAGAGCACTTCCTGCCGGGCAAAGCTCTTACACAACTCTGCTCTCTGACTCCAAAAAGCCATCCCCTAACCACGGACGATTATTCGTTACACGTTACGTTTCTACTTTTATTACCTCATTCTCCATTTTATTCCAAAGCCAAATTCCAAGTTGCCTTTTTTTGAAATGATTGTCTCCCTTGTCTCTTCAACTCTTTGATTTACTGCTCCTCTCATCATCTTCTTTCTTGGGAACTGTTTGGCCCGTGAAGCAGGATTTCATCATTTATTTTCGGTACCAACAACACAGCTCACTGTGCATGGCTGATGTTTCCCATTAGATTGATTCCTCCTAGTGATTTTTGACAACAGCCTGTTTTTTTGCAGGCCTCACTGGACCAGTCTATGCTGTGTGGAGATGAGCGTGTTAAATGTAAAGCTGCCTGTGAGGTACAGAACTAAGAAACAAAAAGACCTGAACAAAAAACCGATCCAAAACTCCTTCACTGCCCAGTCTAATCAGAAAAAGAACTCTTCCTCCTTACCTCTTCTTTTCTTCCCGTCATTTCTCTCTCTCTTGCCACCATCACGTAGCTGTACAGTACCTATGCATATACTTTTGTTGTTACTTGACGATTATTATTTACTGCATTAGAACTAGATTTGCACTTTTTGAGGATAAGTTCCAGTAAAGACAGGAGCCTGTTGTAACAGTTAGCGTTAGCGTTGGCCCGGACAGACAGACCCTGGGTGTGATTTCACCCTTTTTGAGTGCATTTGCTGATGAGCTTATTCTTGCTAACCTGGTCATATGGTACTTGCAGTAAAAACAAGAAAAAGAACTGAGTGGTGAGTGAGAGTTTGGGGGGAAAAAAAGGGATTTTTGTGCAGTTTAACGTGTTTTCAAAAGAGACACAGGAAGCTTAGTGGGATGTTATGACAGCGTCTTTGTATTCTCTGTTGGTCGTCAATGCAAACAGCAGCTTAAAGATTTGCCCATATATTCCTGCAGACGTCTGTGTGTGAAGACGTCTTCACACGCTTACTGTTAGCTTCCACTGGTCTTTCCCGCTTTTTCCAGTTATAAACGAAAGCTCTGTCGCTGTTCTAGAAAAGCAAGTTACTCACTCAAGGTTTACAGTGCTGTTTTATACACCTCGAGCTACATTAACAATAAAATATATATATGATGGAGTATTAGAGGCATAATTTAAAAGTAAACTCTTTGCATTTTCCCTTACTTTGTATTTTTTCAGTGTTATTATTATAATACCTGTCCTTGTTTTTGGTGTGTTTTTTGCTGTCTTTGTCTACCATGTCTTTAGCTGTAGTGTTGGCTGGAGAAGGTCCTCTTGCGCTGGGATAACGTGAGAGTGAGAGCGAGGGAGGGAGAGATTGGTTCTTTTTGGGGGAGAGAAATGAGAAAAGGCGACCTTGTGTGAATAGAGGACTGTGCATGTGTTTGATGCTTTGTGTAAGTCCAGGCAGAGGACAAAAAATATTCAGTATTATCAAATAAAAACCACACATTTGAAAGAATAAATGTCGTCTCTGTCTCTCTTTTTTTATTTAACCACCTGAGCTTTAACTGAACTTCACTCATTCACCTTCCCCCGTCTGTCCTTTTCAGGGTCATGGAACTGAATCAAATCCCAGCAGTCATCGCGTGAGGGCAGGGTAGACCCTGGACAGTTCTCCATGTAGTAAACAAAACTACTATGTAAACATAATTTCTCACCACAGGTCACTTTAAATCAACCAGTCCTGCCTGTAAACAGACGGACCAGTGGTAACAGCAGCGGACCAATCACGTCTGTGACCTTTTCACTGAGGCAAGAGCGCTGGGTTGACACATCTTTGAAGCTGAACTATTGCAAATAATATATATATATATATATTTTTTTTTTTTTAGGTTTTGTGACATGACGGTTTTGATTTCACAAGAGATTTTGCAACACAGACCTTGAACCAGGTCTGTTCTTTTTTTTTTGTTGTTGTTGTTATATTTCCTGGTTATGTTTTTCTATTTTATTTTTAAAAATATTTTAGCAAGTAAAGTCCAGATTTTAACACATTAGATTGACCGTAAGATGTAAATTGTAACTAATTTGATGACTCACTGATGACTTGCAC